GCTTACATGAGGCCGAGCCCACAATACATCAGCAAAACAACAATAACAGCAATACAAAACAATAAAATGAAACTCATAAACAAAAAACTGCTCTGCTTAGCAGAATACAACAAAACGTGTCCAAGTCATAGAGCTATGCGTGCTATAGATGTCTAATGACCAACAACGTAGGAATGGATGAATGTAGTATCACTACACATTTCATTAGAAAGAAGAATGAACTGAGTCAGCGATTTAAGCTTCAGTTCTGCAGTTTTTCTTTCGCAGCCTAGAGCATCTTTTGGCAATAGTTCTGCCTTATGTCCTTCCAAATAACCTCATTTCCCAATCTAGCAACCAGGAAAACCAAAGTGCATCTTTAAATAAATGCACTGCCGGGGGAGAGGAACACTAATACGTTATTTCCTCAACATAGCAAAATACTCTTTCTCCACTTATGGCTACCATGGGTAAATGAAAGAGAGAGCAAGGAATACTAGCCTACTCACCAGTGTCCGCTGGTACTGTAACGTCTTTTTTGGAGGGCTGCTTCTACTCATATCCAATGTTTGTACATAGGGAATTTGGTCATTGTGGGGGCGGTGCCTCCCCCCTTTCTGCCTCCCTGTTTCAGGCTCAAAATAAGGGAGGAAGCAGACGTGGTTTGACTGCTCAAGCTAACAGCTCGCCTGGGGGACAGGTGGAAGGATGTGTAACCAGAGACCCCCATTCTGTTCATGTTGGTGACACAGCAGTCATGTCTATACTCTAACAAGTCTAACTGTTGTCCTGGCATCGAGACAGCCAGTAAATTAAAAGGTGATAAATGTCTTTCTTCTGGCTAGGGCAGGATTGTTTCCATCCAAGGCCAATGATCCCAAAATGGGAAGTATGAGAAATAAGGGCTCGAGAGGAGATATGCAGGGGGCTGACCTTTGCCAGAAGAACAGGAAAGAAGCAAAGAGGAAAAATGGCCAAAGAACGACTGCTAGAGATGCTACCAATAGTGGCCAAGCAAGTTCCAATGCAGGATTATTTCCTCAGCACCCTAATACATTATACATTATTTTGAATATTCTTTTAGACAAACTCTTGGCAGCATCCCTGGAAAGCTTCAATTAGTCAACTGAAGCACACATTTACTCTGTGGTGCTTTCATGTATCTATCTATCTAACCATAGTGTTGAAGTTTCACTTTTCAGTAAGTGGAAAAGTTATTGTTGCTGGCAGGGGGTTATATGATCAAACAAACAGGATACATGGGACCCCAAGAGCCATCTAGTCCAACCCTCCACCATGCATGAATATATACAAGTTTGAAAACGTACCAGCGGACTTTGAAAAAGGTAAAGGTTTCCCCTGACATTAACTCTATTTGTGTCCGACTCTGGGGGGTGGTGCTCATCTCAATTTCTAAGCTGAAGAGCTGGCGATTTCTGTAGACACCTCCAAGGTCATGCAGCCAACATGACTGCATGGAGCATCATTACCTTCCTACAGAAGTGGTACCTATTGATCTCCTCACATTTGCATGTTTTTGAACTGCTAGGTTGGCCGAAACTGAGGCTAACAGCGGGCACTCATCCTACTCCCCGGATTTGAACCAGCGACATTTTGGTCAGAAAGATTAGCAGCTCAGTGGTTCAGATTCCACCAGGAGGCCACACAGTACTTTGAAGAGATAGCTAAATACTTCCAAAGGAGAAGAGTCCACCACCCTCCAAGGAGTTCATTCCATCATCACAGTAGTTCCCAATATTTAGGTGGAATCTCGCCATTTATGTATTTACTTTGACTCCACCGGTTCATATCTTCTTTCTGGAGATCCGACTTATGCTGACTCCATGAATTTCATAGGGTTTTCTTAGACATGGAGAGAGAGAAAAACTTATGAGAGGTTTAAGGAACTGGGCAAGCTGAGCTTGGCAAAGAGAAGAGTGAGGGGTGACAATTCACTCTTTAGATACCTCAAGGACTGCCCCCAAGGAAGAATGCAGATTACTTCACGGTTGCCTCAGGAGGCAGTACTAGTCCACTGGCTTTAAACTATATGAGGGCAGATTTCAATTGAATATTAGTATTATTTTATCATCATAAAAGTAGTTCAGAAATGGAACCAACTGCCTAGAAAGGTAATGGGGTCTCCTTCAAAAATAGATTGAAATGCCCCTTAGGAACACTCTAGTTAGCAATCCTACACATAGCAAGGAGTTGGATCCAAAGGCCCAACTGTGTATTCTATAATATGCAATGAGGAAACAAAGTGGTTTAATATATAGAAATAGTCTTAAGACGTAGTTGGTATTTTTAATTCCCAAATCTCACACTGTATATTTATATAAAAATATAATAATAATACACATTATTATTATTATTATTATTATTAATACAAGAAGATTAGTCCACAGCAGACACTCTGCTGGCTGTTGTATTGGATCACACGCCAGACACTTCCCAAGTGTCTAGGACTGTGTGATGTATTGGGGAATAATGAGTGCAGATCCCAGTAAGGTGGCCTTCTGCAGCTGGCAGATGGTAATTTTGTCAGCACTGATTGTGTTTAAGTACAGGCCAAGGTCTTTAGGCACTGCACCCAGTGTGCCGATCACCACTGGGACCACCTTGACTGGCCTGTACCAGAGTCTTTGCAGTTCGATCTTTAAATCCTCATATCATGTCTGCTTTTGCAGTTGTTTCTCTTCAATCCTGCTGTCACCTGGGATTGCAACATCGACAATCCGTACTTTGTTTTTAACACGATCGTGAGGTTAGGAGTATTATGCCCCAAAACTCTATCTGTCTGAATTCGGAAGTCCCAGAGGAGTTTAATGTGTTCATTTTCTGTAATGTTTTCAGGCTTGTGATCCCATTATTATTGTTATTATTATTGTTATTATCCTTATTATTAAATCAAACAAATTGTACCATTAAAGTGTGGGATTCTTAGTACGCTTTTTTTTTGAGGATTGACTGTTCTCTGAACCTATCATAGGGCAGAAATAAAGGATATTACAATTTAGGAAAAATTGGAAAAATCCATTCGATACAAAAACAGATGGGCACCACCAAAACATCCCTTCTTGTTAATATTAACATATCCTCTTTTAAGGGTTATCATTTCATCAGAAATATTTCCAAGGACAAATCAAACGTGGTCCTCCAGATGATATTGGACTGCAGCTCCCATGAGCTATGGCCAGAGCAGCCAATGTTGTGGAATATAGGACTTCTAATTCAACAGCATTTGGAGGAACTTGAATTAGAACTTCTGAAACATATGTACAATGTAATTACTCAAATGATATCTGTATTCTTACTGCGAAACCCGTGAATATATCTCCTGGGCAGCCAAGCCATAATAATGATTGAAATAGCTCATTATCTCTATTATTATTGCATCTTTATTTTGCATTTTCACCTATTAATCCAACTAATGATTTCTTAAGGATACCAGGGTCTGCTTGACATTTCTGCAAAAGCACTTACTCTTTAAACCTGAGGCTACTATTAACCTTTTTCTTTAGCTGTTTTAATAAGCAATCTGTAAATCCAAAAATATTATATGGGCCAGAGAGCTATATGGAGGAAATAATATCTGGCCCTATACAATCATGTTGATAGATACCTATCTTAACAGTAACTTCATGTAAGCATGGATTTTTTTAATGATTAATGTTTTTTTATTTTCAATTTACATATTCATAAAAAACAGTGAAACAGATCTATATACATGTATATATGCATGAAGCAATATAATGCTTCCTAACATCTATACAGTATGTGTGTTTAGTTATGCTCTCCTCCAAATTTAGTAATTTCCCATCCCTTCAGTTGGGGACATTCATATATAATTCCATTCTTCCTTCCTATTACATTGTTTTTCTATTTTTCCTTCTGGCCTAATATTTATTATTTATAAATTCTCTACACAGATTCTAACAGGTTAAATTATGACACCTTTTATAAAAACTTTTCCTTTTTTTTAAACATAGATTAGAAATGGTTCCCAGTCCAGAATTGTGCATATAATGTTCTTGCTGCTATTATCATATAGTGTAGTGGTTCTCAGCCTGTGGGACCCCCAATGTTTTGGCCTTCAACTCCCAGAAATCCTAACAGCTGATAAACTGGCTGGGATTTCTGGGAGTTGTAGGCCAAAACACCTGGGGACCCACAGGTTGAGAACCACTGATATAATGTAACACTTTATAGTTTAGTTATTTTGTCTGGTTATTTGACATTTAAAAATGTGATTACATCAGGGCAGAAACTACTTTGCTTTGGGGGCTCTGACAATAGGGACATTGCACATGAAGTATCAGGATAAGGCCAATCTATCCACTCACTGTAAACCACACTAGATTCCAGCAATATCTGCAAAATAAAATACAATACAGATGCTTTGGAGACAGAGAGGTGCTACAGGATAGGTTTAGTTGACCAATCAAATTCAAAATCCCCAAAACTGTGAATAATAAAAGTATTACTGTTTTGTGGATTTTGTTATACTCTTCAGCATCACCAACACAGCTAACCCAAACATACAGTACTTTCTGGATTTGAAGATACTGAATTTTGCCACAATGTGAATTTTTAACAAGTGATCTAATGGACTAGAACCTAATAGGATTTCTATCACTAACAAAGGTAAAACTCTTTCATTCTGACTAAGATCAGCAAGGTTTACCTATTCAACATCTATACTTGTCTAACCGGGGGGGGGGGGGGGGGGGGGAGTTCAGTCTTGCAAAGACAGTTTGCCTGGATCTCAAGGGAAGTTACTTTGTTGCTGCTAATAGATTTGATGGCAAAGAAGGAGAGTGAGATCCCTTCAGACCATTTAACAACAGAGGTAAAATGTAGCTTTGTGATTTTTCGCTTTTCTTCTCCAATATGGTTTCTCACATTTTTGTCTGATGAAGTCAGCGAAAGCTTCAAAAGCTTAAATGATATATTGTGTGCATTTTAGTTGGCCCAATTAATGTGGCAGTTTTGAGGATTAAGAGAAAAAAAAACCTCTCTCATTTAACTGACATTTATTTAGAAAGTTCCAAAGCTTCCCAGCCATTTAAATCTATACAAATTTTCAATCTGCAGCATAAATCAAGGTTTTGAAGAAAGTTCAAACACTTCCCAACCGTTTAAAATTATACAATATTTCAATTCTCAGGATAAATCAAGATTTTGAAGAATTTCCTAGTACACCAGAGTTCCCTGGCAATAGCCCTGAGAGGCTTGTTTCTGAACACAACCTACATATTTTTTAAATCTTGAAGAACCCATAAAGAAAGGGATAAGAAAAAGAGACACAGCTATCAGAAAATACAGCTTTTCATTTTGGCACACAAACATGGATAAAAGTTCAATATAAAAATGGCAGTGAAAAAAATTGGGTCTTTTCCTTTAACAAGATAGGAGGCAGTAGTACTAACACAATCATCTAGCACCAATATAAAGAGGAGACTCTAACATGTTTCTATTTTTGGCTCATGAATGTGGGAGCCTTAAGAGGCCACCCTAAACCAGAAACGTCTCTTGCTACCCTGCAAGTATGGTATATGGTCCAACTGCACAATTTACAGCCTTAAGAAGGTGGCAAAGGACCATCACAGTAGGCATGTGCATGTGCATGAAATTCATTCCTACTGTTTCTAGTCTTCTGTTTCTTTGGAAACATGAAATAGGAAGCCCTTTCCCCACACGAAAATCTGCTCGACACGAAAGCCTGCTTTCATGTGCATGTAAACCTGCCTTCCTGTCTTGGAAAGTGTGTGTGTGTGGTGGGGTGTGCAGGCAAGCAAGCAAGCAGGTCCAGAGCTTGGTTGCAGGCACGCTCTGGGCATGCCCGCCTGCACGTTCCGACACACACACACTCTCAGAGAGTATAGCGAGGCATGTGTGGTGGGGTAGAGAAAGAGGAGATTGGTTACTAGCATTGGCGTGCACACTCTGCCACACATGCATGTTGCGGGGAATGCAGGCTGGCCAAGAAAGCCCTTGCACCTGCCAGTGCCTATAGCCAAGTGCCTCTTACTCTAGAGTAGAAACAGCAGGTGTCAGGTAAGGATGCACGCCGGGAAGGAGAGCAGGTGAGTGGGAAGCCCCCCCCCCCCCAATGGTTGGATTTTCAGGCCCTGAAACAAAAGAACCGAAAACAACCCTCCCAATTTTGGGAGGCTTACAATGAAAGCCAGGACATGAAACAGGACAAGGTTTCCCCGAATGCACATGTCTACCTGACAGGGCAAGAACATAAATATTTATAACTTTGGGCCTCTGAACACATCCCAATATCTGGTTTGGTTGTAAGAAGCCTGATGAATGGCACCCAAGTAGCTTACTGAAAAAGAAGAGCTAGGTCTTTACCAACAAAGAACAAATCCAATGCATCACACCATTAGTCTATAATAAAATCTACAAGACCCTCATACTTTTATAACAGAAAAAAATGTCAAGCTATATTACTATTAAGAGCTGCCTGTAAAATAGCAACATGGTCAGAATAATCCTATGCATGTTTAACCTAGTATTACTGGGGGGGGGGGGGGCAACATATACAAGGAAAAATTGTTATGATTGTTTCAAAGCCCTGATGCAAAGATTCCCTCAATAATAATGAGTATCTTCAAAGAATATTGTGAAAAGAGAAATAATGGTCATGTTGAACAAACTTGACATTGCATGCATATCTGCAATAGATGGACTACTCAAAGATGGAATATAACTTTAGCACTGGGGAAAGAAATTCCAAACTAGTTTTATTGGCATGTATTCTTAATTTTTGTAGGCAACGATCTTTTTCATCCCAATTACCCAATCTCCCATCTGCATGGGCATATACATAAAATATAAATCTTTTTAAAAAATTAATAAAACCTTTCTTTTTTAAAAAAATATTTGTTTTCGTTTTTCTTTTTTATATAAAATTATTACAAATGTAATTTAACATTCCTTTTTATCCACAAAATACTAATTATTAAGGTGCTCCTCAGCACTCTTGATTTTTGGTTAAAAAACAGATGACCAATATTATAAAACGTAAACATGGCTTTCAGGCATCACTATCTCCCAAGTTCTATCCAAGAGTGAATGCTGCACCATGAATAAAAAATATGACCTAGTAAGCCATGTTTATCTTTAAAATAGGTGCAAGTTGCTTTTGAAAAAAGTCAGGATAAAAATGCCCAATTTTTAAAAAACCAGAAGAACTACAGAACACGGCAGATATTACATGCAGTTGCTTATAAATCAATGAAAACGCTTCCCTCACCAGAAAGGAAAAGTTGACCATAGACCTTTAAAAGGGGTTCAATGGTAATTGAATGGAGCAAGTGAAAGCTAAGTGTAGTCCTCTTGTTGTTTTACAACTTCTAGAAACACTCACTCCTGAGTCTGCTGGCAAAGTTTGTTGAGCTCAGAAATAAGAGATTGCTGTACTCTGTCCACCGCAACAGGAAGACTGGCTTGGTCCAGATAAAGTACACCCTTTAGGGAAAAGACAGGGCTAATTCCCAGGAAAATATCCTGGGAACAGGTAAAGGTCTTGGCAGAGAGTGCTACAGTATTCTGACATCTCTTTGCAGCGGTGGAACTCTGTGCCAGGAGCATGGCCCTCTCGGAGCTTGATTAATCTGTTCACCTAAAAGAGAGAATAAGACAAGACAAAATAAATCCTTAGAGATGTGAAAAACAACACATCGTTTACGTTAACTGATTTACTGAAATTAAAAGACAGTTCCATTCCTTTCATTCACAGGGCCACTTCTGTTAGATCATTCTTCCCCAAAGCAATTTGGGGGAACAGAACAATGCTATTTAATTCTGACTCCTTCTCCTGAACATATATGAGCCCCAAATTGTCCTGGAGAAAGCGAAACAATGTGATGTCGGTTATGACAGCTCATTGAATGTAAAGCCAGCAAGATGCTAGACAGACACAAGAAAGAATGGATCGTGTGCACTGGCTTACCTTCACAAGCATGTCAGCCACGTGCATATGCCTAGAGTCTTCGGCAAACACAGAAGTGAGAGCTTCCACATACCAAGACCCATGCTTGGTATTTCTCATTGCAGCTGTACCTGTGAAGAAATAAAGTCTTGCCAGACTAATCCAATCTCTTTTTTAATATACTGAGTTACAAGCTTGGTAGATGAAGGGAATGTGCTGAAGGCCTTTGATAAGTTTCCCCATTCTTACAAAGAAGATAATAAAATCTGGGCTAGACAGTGCTACTGTTTGTTAGTGGACAAAGGATTATCTTTGTTCACAACAACCAGCCAGGCTTTGAAGCTGCAAGGTGATAAAATGCTAATCAAGGTGGCCATTTGCCACGTTCACACTTGCCTCGAGCAGACAAGAGTTCTTTCTCCCACCCTGGACATTCCACAGATATATAAACCCCACTTGCCTAGTTTCCAACAGACCCCTCAACCTCTGAGGATGCCTGCCATAGATGTGGATGACACGTCAGGAGACAACGTTTCTGGAACATGGCCATACAACTCGGAAAACTCACAGCAACCCAGTGATTCCAGCCATGAAAGCCTTCGACAATGGATTGAGAATTGTTTGGCTAACTGAACACCAATGGCTCCTCCTCAACTTGAAGAAACGTGGCCAGTGGGGTGCCACTGGGGTCTGTTCTGGGCCTAATGCTATTCATTATCTTGATCAATGAATTGGAGTATGGCATGCTTATCAAATTTGCAGATGACACCAAACTGGGAGGCATAATCCAAAATGACCTTTAACAGATTGGAGAGCTGGGCCCAAACTAACAAATGAATTTAAACAGGGGAAAATGTATGTCACTACATTTAAGCAATAAAAATGAAATGCACAGCTCTAGGATGAGGGACACCTGGCTTGAAAACAGTCCATGTGAACGGGATCTAGGATTCTTAAGTAGACCACAAGCTGGACATAAGTCAATAGTGCGATGCGACAGCTAAAAATGCTAATGTGATTCTGAGCATAGACTCCTGACTGAACTATAGTCCCTCACTATTCTGCTTTGGTCTAATCTCATTTGGAACGATGTGTCCAATTCTGGACACTGCAATCCAGGAAGGTTATTGACAAGCTGGAACATGTCCAGAGAAGGGCAACCAAATTCATCAATGGTTTGGAAGCTTAAATCTGTGTTGCTTAATAATTAGGTAATTTCTTCTTGATGTTGATGACCGATCTTTTTATTTCAGTTGAGATAATTTATGAACCCAAGTTTTTTAAATCAAAATTTGAAGATATATTTTTGAAACTGAAAATATTTCAGTATTTGCAAGCCTTGCTTAAAAGGCATGCAAACTTTCCCTTTTTTAAAATACAGCTGAAGCATTTGTTGCTCAGTCCACTGTAACACTACACATTGTTGCTAACAGATTCCTGTAAATGTCTAAAACAGCCACTAGGGGGCATTGAGAAACCTTTTATTGTTTCCAAATATTTTAGGATCCCAACATTTAGTTGCAGCAACTCCATATGGGGTCAGAACTCACTGTTTAAGAAGCTCTGTTTTAGAAAGTAGGACATGGAGCAATGGATTCAAATGGCAAGAAAAGCGATTCCACTTAAACATATAGTGGAATATCCTTCCTGGGAGGAAAATCTTTTCTGGAGGTTTTTAAGCAGAGATTGGATGGCCATCTGTTGGGAGTGCTTTGATTATATGTTCCTGCATGGCAGGGGGCTGGACTGGGGGTTTCTTCCAACTCTAGGGTTCTATGAAATAAAGCAAGTCACAGAACCAAAAAAATGACCAAAAAGGTACAGCAACTCAGTTAGAACCTTATAAAAGTTCTCAGATAAGAGAACAGAAAGAACATTTATATTTATATCCAACATACCCTTCAGACAGGCATATCCACAGATCATGTCAGAACACGTGGGAAGTCGCAGCTTGGGATTTTCTTTTTTGTTTGCATCAGTCTCTTCACAGCCTGGAGAGCTTGCACGATCATTCCCATCTACTTGGTCCACTCCACGGTCTGTCTCATCTAACAGGATGAAAGAAAAAATTAAAAAATAAATTTAATGTAAGTAGTACATTATTTTTTGCTCAAATGACCCATTTGTCTAGGGCACAGAGTCCCTAGACATTTAATTTTCTTAGAAATACTTATTGATCAACCACTGCTGGTACACATGAGATCAACTGCCCAGGCATATATTATGGTTATGGCAAGAACAGCCATGATAAGCCATCAGAGAAAAGCTAAAGGAGGTTTTAGATGGCTGGAATCTAACAGATGAGAGGTGAGCGCTAAATGGGTTTTATATCTTCTCTAACCTCTGTTTCAGGAAGAGTCAGGCAGATTTTTCAATGGCAAATTTCTTCATTAGATTTGCATTCAGTATTAATGACACCAATATATTTTTCTATTTTACTAAAATCTCTCTCACATACACATATATAACTGAACCCATGTGTTATTTCACTTCAGCATGATTACACCACAAACTTCACTGACTACTTGCATGTCATATGCATACAGGTTGAGTTATATGTACAGAACCAGTTAAATGCATTCAAAAATGACATCTTTCAGAAATCAGGGGAATATTTCAGTTAGCCTGGACATTTGGGCATGAGTCTGAAAGCTGCAATTCTCATGGAGCAGGGGAGGTTTTCTGAAAATCCCAATATAAGCTAGAAGTCCTGATTCCACTTTTTAATTATTTTAATAGGTACAGCGTGTTTTTTGCCCACTTCTAATGTTAATAAAAGGCAATTTTTCAAACTCAATCACTATTTCTGATTTTATTTTTATACTGAATACATATGTAATTTAACAGCCAAAGACTTGCTATTTTACAATTACTGTTTAGAATTTTCTCTCTCTACATCTAGCCTAGAAAAGCCTGTGCTTCTGTCTCTTGCTTTTGCTAAAGTATGGCTATGATCCAATCTTTACTGAACCTACTACTTAGCTGATTATCATGAAAGGCCAATGTGCCATGCTGAAAGGATTATTATGAATCAATAGGAAATATTAAACTGAAAAGTAACCATAATTAATTTGTCAAGATAACAAGATATTTGTACCATAATTTAATTTCATAAATACAATGGGGAGAGAGAGAAGAAAGGAGACAGGATTAATTAGAAAATACAAATGATCAAGAGAAACAACAAGAATGTCATGCTTCCATCAAGCCACACTTTTTCGTGTTCAGATCAGACTCTGAAATTCATGCAGCAACAATAAAGGAGAGCTTCCTAGGGTGACAAAGGTTTTAAGCTGATCCAAAGTACTTTCATCAAAATATTGCACACTGGAAAAAGAAATAGGAAAAACGAACAAAGGAAAAATGTTAGAAAAAGATTATCAAGTAATATTAAATGTATTCATTATGGGAACTTGTGCAAGGAGAAGCAGGTACAGGAATAAAATATGGTGAGAAGTATTGATATACCTTTGGTGAGTACTGTGGCTTGGGACCTGTTGACTTCATCTTATCTTGTATAGACCTAGTATGTTAATTTTTGAGTGGCGAGCCTTAATTATTCAACTCTTCTATTTTAGTTGGGGCTCACAACAGAATTCAGGCCAATAATAAACAACCTCCATTTTAAAATCATGTCACCATTCAAACTGTTCTAAGATGCTCCGAAGATTTCCAAGATACAATAATATGCCATTCAGAGGTGTTGCATTAAAGGGAATGGGAAACATCTGTGCTGTAGCACTTGACAACTACAAAATATATGAAATTATTTCAATTGATAAATGTGTATTCTCTGGAATTTCATAGTATTTCAAGCAACCACCAAAAAACCCAAACCCCAAAAGAACCAGTAATAAAGAAGACAGAAAGTCATAATTTTCACTCAAGAACAGCAATTTTGCCAGGTGAGATCTCCATGGATTAATTAGACAGGATTAATTAGAAAATACAAATGATCAAGAGAAACTTTTTGTATTGGAAAGCTTTTTGTATTAGAAAACACAAATCAACAATACCTATAAAAGCCACAGCAAGGAGTGAAGATCAGCTCAGGACTATTTTAGTTATTCTCAAGATTGTGTGTCACTGATGACACAAGATCAAATCTAATTTTCACATTTCATTCCAAAGGTAATCAGCTTGTAAAACTAAATTAATTTGCCAAGCCGTAAGTACTGACTAAAAGCCAGTTAAGACCACACCAGTAATTTCATTTTATATAACAGATGTGGTCTTATTTCTGAGACAATAACTTTGTCTGAAGGCTGGAGTAAAGCTCATCCCAATAGTCCTCTGGCTCCTCGCTCCACTTATTCAAAGTGTTATCTGCTCTGGCATATGCAAACTTGGCAGACACGTTGAATATTCTCTGGGGAAAACTTCTACAGGCAGGAAAGAGGGGCTTCTCATTGGAAGAAGTAAACTAGCACAGGATTCTATGATCTTGCCAAAGTAAATAAACTTATTCTTCAATTCCAGTCTGTCTACTGAACAAAAAGTTTGATTATTGTGTCATTTGTTGTCAGCTTCTTGGGGACTATAAAATTCCTGAGTGTTTTTGGAAGCAATATACTCCTCAACCTAGACCTTTACTGAAATATTTTGTGCTTAATTTGCTTCGGTTTTTGATAGTCCACATATAAGGGAGCAACTCCAAAATTAAAATGTAGACTCAACCACTCTGCATGTACTTCTAAATACAATGTCATTAAGTTCTCCAGAACACAACACTGATTTTGTTAAGTACACAGGAACAGGACTGATCTATATATACATCAAACATACAGGGAAGAGGTTGAAGACATTTTCTATTTGATTAGGTTATCTAGTCAGCTTCCACATAAAGCTCAAACTATTGCTAATGTCATCAGAGATCTCAATGCATAATCTTAGGTGAAATTATGCAATTTTCAAATCAGACACTTCTTAAGAAGTTATTTCTTTTTGAAAAGGCAAGATGATTTTGGTCACATCTTTATGATGTAGCTCCCAACTCAGAAACACATGCATGGATGTCGCTATCCAATTACTTATCATTTCAAGCTCAAGTAACATATTCACTTGTACTTGTGAACTGATGCTATATGTCCTGTAACCTTACACTCTAATGAAAAAGGAGAGAATAAGTCTCAACATGTTAAAAAAGAGGGGTTAATTCGCTGAAATTGCCCAAAGTGCTTTGTCTGATTATGCTTATTTTATATCCTTTCTCAGGGCAATAAATATGGAATACCAAAGAGATCTCAGATAACCTGTTTTCAAATTCCATAAAGCCAGTGTTGCTCAACCTGTGGGTCCCTAGGTGGTTTGGCCTACAACTCCCAGAAATCCCAGCCAGTTTACCAATTGTTACGATTTCTGGGAGTTGAAGATGAAAATATCTGGGGACCCACAGGTTGAGAACCACTGCATTAAGTGGTAACTGACATTATCTTACTTATAATACTCTAGCATGACTTGAAAGGATTAAAGACAACAAAGTTCTTTTGTGATTCTGCTACCATCTTCTACACCAGAGGATGGGCAAGAATTCAGGCTTGCAGGATCAATTTTCAAATCACATATCTTCATTATTCTGACTTTGAGAAATGACGCTTTCCAACTTCTGTATTTATATGTGAAAACAAATCTTTTTAATGAATAGCTGAATCCTTTTGCCATTTAGCTTCCCCAGCTCAGCCTTTTGGGGAGATGCAAGAAAGGCTATCACGGGTAGAGGGTTCAATCAATCCCCCTCTGCTAAGTGTCACAGGATTCTGCCACGGTACCAGGAAAACCACAACCCAACACTGCCTTGCCCTCAACTGAATGCAAGAAACTTCAGAATAGCCAACATCTGAAGTGCAATGTCACTGTAGTGCTCCTATGTACAGAGATGAACTTCATGGAAGCTGAGTTATCGTCTGCCAGTAGTGTGTTAATCATTCCACTCAGATTCAACAAAGATAGGAAAACACTACAATAAAGACCAAAGAAAAAAAGAGTAGCCCAGAAAGTTCGAGCAAGCAGATTAAATCTCCATGCTAGCCAGTGATTAATAGAGGCTAGCTGCCACACTGCATACATGCAACACATGGGGAATTATCAGAAAGCTCCTTTTCTCTCTTTTCTTGGTACTGCAGGGTCTGCAAATTGCTGACCACATGCCATGCACAGTGAGAAGCACTTACAGACAGAGGTAGTGGCAACAGCAAGGCAGGGAGGTGAATGTGGGTTCCGCTTATACCTGAGAGAAGCAAAGAGGAGAGATGAACGCAAGCTGAGCAGAAAGGGGAGTGTTTGTGAAAAACAGATATCCTCCCCGCCCTCACTCTTGGCATGACTCACCTCCCCGGCAAGCTTGAATGAAGAACATTTTGGGTTTATTTTGAAGATTAGGACAGTTTGCATTATCAAAGAGCCTGAAAATCTCCTGCAGCTGTGAAAAAAATGAGGTAAGAAAGCAGCTGTTAAAGCAAATTATTAAACCTAGCACAAGCCATAAAATCCACCATTAATTATTCTTATTTTGTCTGCCTTGTCATATTTTATTTCCTCTACTGCAACTTGGACTAAGAAGATTTATATTGGAATGTAAAAAATAAAGAGCCAATGACACTTTCCACATCATGGCATATCTACCGAATCCAATTTTCTAGTGTATTTTCTCATGGTATCACAACTTGTAATCTTTATATAGGTTAAAATGTTACACTTTCCTGATCATACTTCTACAAGAAGCCAAGGATCCTTATATATGTAATTACCTGAAGTAGCTTGCCATCTATGCCATAGATTCCACCCTCAATTCCATGGGAAAGGAGTGACACAATGCAAGAATCGACATTTCGGTGAGCTGGATGCTTTGAAAAAATTTCCAATTCTTCCTTCATTTCCTGAGAATTAGAAATAACCAAAATCAGCCATCTCTATCATTTTTATTGCCTGCATTATGATTTAGAAGTCACTGACTGTGTTCTAAGCAATAAAAAAAAAATACACGCATGCTTTTGAATCCATGATCATAATATGCATATTTCTGAAAGTGGGGGAGGGGTGGCCAAGAGAGATAATATAAGTAGAAGCAACGCTAACGAATTATTATTATTATTATTATTATTATTATTATTATTATTATTAGTGGAAAGACCACTAAGGAAGGCTGTTCTGAGAATAAGAAAGGCAGCGGGCAATTACAGTCAGCCCTCCTATCCACAAATATATCCATGGATTCAACCATAAACAGCCTGAAAATATTCAAAATAAACATCCAAAAAGGAAACCTTGATTTTGCAGGCAAGACCCAGGTACTGGACAATCACACCTCCTACAATATCCCCTCCTCTCACCTGTGCAGTCTGATTTTGTTGAACAACCACTTGGTACCCAAGGTGTTTGAAGAGCACGTGCAGGGCAGCATTGTCAACATCTCCACCAGAACGAAAATCCAGATCTGTCTCTTTGTTGAACTGAATGTTGCTAAGTATAAGTGCTAGGCCTCTTGGTTGCGATTTCAACTTGTATGCCTATGAAAGACAGTTAATAAATTCCATTTCCCTTTATGTATGTTAAACAAGAACAGGGAAGACATAAATATTTTACAGTCAAAATGCTGGTGTACTTAGGCAAACATACACCACTATATTTGCCTTGTTTTAGTATTAGCCACTTTGGGTCTCTTTTTTAAAGATAAAGTGGGGCAGAAATAATAATAATCACAATAACAACAACAGAGTAATAACGAAGAAGAATGTCACATACATCTTTCACCCAAACAACAGAACAGACTAATAACAAAGACGGTCACAGACATCTTCCACCCAAAAGGGAAACATATTAATAAAGGATTATTCCAACCAGACTAGAGTAAAACAATTCCAATCACATAAAACAGCTGATAATCAGAGAAACTCTGGAGGACTACAATTTGCTAATCACTGATATATAGCAGTGCCATATTTCAAATGCAATGTTTCTTTAAAGAGCTTTAATTTGTTGACTGAGAAATGGAAGTAATATTCTAGCCAAATGGTAGCATCATATTTGGCTTAAGCCAGTGGTTCTCAACCTGTGGGTCCCCAGATGTTTTGGCCTTCAACTCCCAGAAATCCTAACAGCTGGTAACAGGGATTTCTGGGAGTTGTTGAGAACCACTGGCCTAAGCCAAGAGAAGATAACACTAAAACACTAAAATCAAATGGCTGGAATGTTGCTCATGGCATTACTTTCAGAACTCATCATGCGCAATGGAAGTTTTCAATATTTGTTCCACTTAAGAAGAATAAGAGAGCTGACCTGGGCTAGACAAAGGAAGTAGTAGTTAGAAAAACTAGAAATCCAACTATTCTATAAGAAAATCGAAGCATCACATGACTTCTGCCTGGCCTAGGTGTGTAAAAGGCAAATGATTGTGAAAAGTTTGTGTTCTGCAGAGAGAATATACATAGATTTGAAAAGGAAATACAGATTTCAAAAAGGTTGAAACATGCACAAAAAAATTCATGTCATTGTCTCCATTACTCAGTCTGGGCTTTCAGAATTATGTGTCTACTCAGACATTTTATGGCTGCATGAGAAAGAAAAATATGTTCTTCTGAGCCAACACGTCTTTCACACAGCCTGTTTGTAAATTGTTTTCTGCAGACCGCAAATAAAACATGTTATATTTGTTGGAAGTATAGAGGAACAATCCTTCAATTTCCACCCTTTAGGCTACTTACCAGCTGCTCATGAGTACGATAGAATTCTGGGGTGCATGGCATAACTTGAGGATAGTGGGGTCCATCTCCATCATCCAAAGAATGTTCCATTGGTTCTGCCGAATACACAAATCAGCAAGTGATAAGCAAATAGCAATAGATCACATACAGTTTCTATGTAGTTTTAAATCCAGCATTTACAAAATTTTAGAGATATGAGCTTCTGACTCTAATTAATCTTTATCCAATGAGTATATTGATTATATACTTTATTTAAGAGCAAATAAATAAGAGTTTCAATGAGGAGGCATCTATCAGGTGTGTGCAAAACAAAAAGAATGGAAGATGTCAATGAAATCTGAAGAACATATGTGTAGTCCCCTGTCCCTCAATAAGGCTATCTAGTTTGATGTCCCATATTCCACAAAAAGACATGTTCTGTGACTGTGAAAAAAATGTGAAACTATTCCTCTTTCCAGAGATTTGGCAAATTATTCTTGGTAAAGATCAGATTCCACTGTCGTAGAGAGAATGGGCTGAAAACTCAGAATGAGAGTGCAGCAAACCAACCAGAGTGGCCAAGGGTATACACGACAGGGCAGGGTGATGCTATTATATACACATACATATATACATACATACATACACACGCACACACACACACACACACTAGCTGTCCTCTGCCACGCGTTGCTGTGGCCCAGTCTGTGTTTTGTGTGTATATATATTTGTGTATATGTGTATTTGTGGCTATGCGCATGCGTTGTAATGTATGTTTTATTTTTTGGCTTTTTAGTCTCTTCCACTGTGTTTTTCAGTGTTTTATGAGTGAGGGTCACTTGTTGGTCTGATAGGTGTATTGTGTCCAATTTTGGTGTCAATTCACCCAGTGGTTTTTGAGTTATGCTAATCCCACAAACAAACATTACAATTTTATTTATATAGATAAGTATATGTAAGAAACCTCAATAATTAATTGGTGGCAGCAAAGGAAAATATAACACTGTAATGTGTATATATGTGTGTGTGTTATATTTTCCTTTGCTGCCACCAATTAATTATTGAGGTTTCTTTTGCTGCCACCATTTATTAGTCCATAAGCCACCTACTTGGTAGAATGTTCAAGAAGACACATGAACTCTTCAGGTGAAATAAAAACAAGAATATGATGTTTATTTTGCTCTTGAACAGTAAAGAACCATAGTGGTTTCAATAATCTGTCAGGTTTTACTTGTATAGTGAATAGTTTTATAACATAAGATTCAATGTTCCACACACGGGAATACACACAGGTTGTTTAAACCTTTTGAATCTTCTCTCTCTCTCTCTGAAGCTTCAACCGCTCTCTAAAACTATAGAGGCTCGCTATATTTCTTAACCCTTCTTCTTGAAGACTTTTACTATTTTCCTCAAAGAGGTATCTTTCTAATTAACAGTTCCCAAAACCCTTCCTTCCCCTTCAAATCTCCTAAACTCTAACTCCCACTTCAAACTCCAAACTCTCACTGACTAAACTCTGGCTGCACAGCACTTTCTTTCACTCTGGTTCCACCCCTCTCAGGATGCTAAGCAACTCCCTCCAATTTCATCAGACAAACAGACTGCACTTCCAGCTATGAAGCGGCCTGATTGCACCTCCCCACCTGCTCTCCTTAGCTTTTCTAAGACAGGCCTGTCACTGCCTGTACACCAAATTTATAAGGTAGGCTTTTCTTCAATGTTCTGAAAAGCAAAATTTCAAATGCCAAAAAAATAAATAAATTAGTAAGTCCTTAATTTAGAATAATGCAATGTTCTCAAACGTTTTGGAAGCCCAAATGTACTAAAGTTACAACAAAAACAAAAAAAGCATTTTATGACATCTGAAATACAAATAAGTTTTATTATAGTCTAGTTAATCTATTCAAGGAATGGCTATAGTTAATATTTGTGTAGAATTCTTATTATTTTGGTTGTTCCAGATTCTTCTGTCTTTAGAGGTTTGTGAAATAAACTAATGTATTTTTGAAAATAAACACATCAAATCTATGCAGGACATCTAAACAGAGCGACTTCTAATTTTGTTATTATTTTTGTATTATAACTATTGTTATTAGAATCTAATAATAAACACACAGAATAATTCATTACTAGTAAAAATAAAATTTCATAAAATAGCATAGAATTGGTTAATAGCAACAGGACACTTTGTAGCTTATGCAATGCTTTTGACACAAAATAAATAAACTTTGTAACTCTAAAAGATCAGCAAAATTCAAATGGCTATTAAACCTGGATAAAAACAAGGTTCTATTTTGCAATACTGTTTCACTGTATGACTTCATTGAGGATACCATCTTACACAAAGAAACCATTTTTTTCCAAATAATTGTCTAGGGGTGCTACAAAATAATTTGCCATACAGCCCAAATGTCCAAGAGAGCCTGTATTTCAAAATAATAATTAACAACTGTTTCAGATACTTAACTTTGAGGATTTCTGACATGCAACTCCAAAGTATGTCACTTTATTTTATCATTTACATAATGTATATTTTTTCATCCAGTTAAAGCAGAGAGTAATAAACTTTTGAGGAACATGTATCACAGGGTTGTGGTTATCTGGGAGATGATATCTCCATAGAAATCTGCCCCCTCATGTAGTTTTCCTCCAGCTCCCTAATATATATCATTGAACTAAATTAAAACAATGCCTCTGACATTCACAAAAAAAATCACAAAGCTAGTGCACATTAAAGTGCATAAATGCATATAATTGAATCCAGAATACTATGTTTCTGTCAAGATTTTTACACACAGAGAGAGAGAGCCCTTCTTTTCTTCCTCACCCTTTGACTAGTTAGAAGCTTATTAGCAGTACTGACAAAATAATGAAGGAGATAGCTAAAAGAACACAGACTTTCAGTGTTGGGTTAAAGCAGCATGTTTAAAGTAAGCAATAAAATAAAGCTTGTGCTGGGAAAGAACAGAATTCCACTTTAGCCAATCCTATTATAAACACTGTGACATACTAAAATGGTTATGTCTTTACATCTAACATGCACCTGTATATTCTCTCCTAGCATCATATATTTGGAAAAAGCTATTCACTAATATGTAAAAGAGTCTGCAGATATCAAGAACATACAAAGGCATTCTAAATAAACAACTGAAAAATTGTTGTCCAGTGGTTAGCAGAGCAAAAGCAAGAAATGATACAAGCTCTGACCATGGTCTCTTGTTTTTACCTAGTAACATGTTTTAAAACAACACCCTTTGGTGGTTAAATCTAAAAAGAAATATGGTACTTTCTTTTCCTAATAACCTGAGCAAAACTACTTTTTAAAAATGAGATAATATTTTTAAAAGACATATGAACTGATAGAATCACATTCTACATAAAACTTACCAGGATTCCAACGAGGCCATTTTTGCAAGATACCGGATTCAGGCACAGGAAATGACAGAGGTTCTTCACTGCTATGACTCAACTGAGAGAAAGCATAAAATATGACAAAAATCAAACATAATTGTTCAACAAGAACAAACCATAACTGTCATTAGCTATGGAGAATCCAACAAAAATGGAGAAAATTGAATTGGCCTACGTGATGGCTAAAAACATAATAACAACAACTTTATTTATATTCTGCCCCATCTCCCCAGAGGGACTCAGGGTGGATTCTAAACATAAAAGGCAAACACATACGAATATATGTTTGCACAATCGGACTATAGAAGAACCAAGTGTATGAACTTTGTGTATCCTTAACGTAGTTTCAATGCAGATGCTTTGCCTTTCCACTGCAGTTTGACAAAACATTGGGTTTGGGTTTTGTTTTTTGTTTTTTTGCTTTGAGTATTTAAAAATAATGTTATCTTATTTTTATAAATTTTCTTGGCCAGAATCGAAAGGGGAATATTAATTCCGAATTAACATTTTAAAGTAGGTGAGCAAGAGAAGTATTTTTCATCCACAGAAAAGTAAGACAACCAGATCAATCAATTCATATGATTGATAAGATATTCCCTATTCTTAATATCTGAAATGTGGAATGCAATTCTAACAGTGATCTGACACCATTACATTTATCTGCTGAGGTGTATCAGAATAACTGGAAGTCTTGAAAACCAACAATGTTTCTAAGCAGAATTCACTGAATTTCTGAATAGTCAACCAGGCTGACTGATATAACCTTGAAAACATAACATTTGAAGTCCTGTGTTTGCAGCTGCCCATGATCCTTAAACACAGATCATGTTTTAGTTCTATTTCTGAAGTATTAGTTACCCATTCTAGTTTGGTGTCATCCTCATGCACTGTCATTGTTCGTGCAGGTTATTTAAAAAAGATTCTGACTAACAGTGAGCCAAGGACAGAACCCTATAATGCCCTACTTTTCACTTCTTTCCAGAATGATGTGTAGGGCACTTTTTGTATTTATTCCGTCAACCAGCAAAAACCCATCAAACTATAACACAATTCACCCTATATTTGAACAATGTCTCCACAAGAATATCATCATAGATCTTGTCAGAAATCAAGATGCACAATATTCACAACATTCCCCTGATCACAGCTTGCAATGCTACAAAAACAAGCAAACATGGCTTGCTTTTGAGAAACCCAAACTGTTTTTTGTGAATTGCAGCATTTATTTCTAAACGTTCACAGACTGACTATTTAATCATCCATTTTCAAATCTTCCCTGATACTGGATCAAACTTACCAATTGGTGGTTGTCTACCTCTTCTCTCTTTCTCCTCAAGACAAATTCACTAAACTTTTCCGTTAAATCTTAATCTCTTCTTACCTTTGCAATCCCATTGCGGTGCCTGGAGACAGAGCTCAGAAGCATTTCCTCCAAGTGAGGTTGTTTGGTTTCTCTTAAAGCTTCGCAAAAGGCTGAGAAGGCTTTGGGGCCCCTCTTAGGAAGAAGATTCAGAAATTCGATGTTTTGGCTAAAATTCCCAGCCTTGGCCTGAATCAATGCAGAAAATATAAATAGAATTCAAAAGAATACCAAATTCTTTCCTTCACAATGTCTTCTTTGTCTACTCTACAAACAACATATGTAAGTCTCCTATGAAAATGAAAAGCAAATATTAAATTCAGAGAGGCAGGATGTCTAATCCAAAAAGCAGCTGAACAAGCAAAACACAAAATAGTCTACATACATGGGGGTACATGCAGATGTATATATAAATGCTTAAAGAAGTTGGCATCCCCTTTGTTTGGAAATGGAAATATCATACCTCACCAACATTCTGCATTATTACAATTTGGATTATTACAATTTAGATTATATCCATGGATTCTGTATCCCCATCTTAAAATGTTCGAAAATAAATTTTAAAAAGCAAACTTTGATTCTACCATTTGATAAAATGGATTCAATTTTATTATGCCATTATATATGCTGGGACTCCAGCAACCATGGATTTTTGTGTCTATGGGAGATGCTGGAACCAAACCCCTAGATACCAAGGGTACAAAGTAATGTTATGCTATAGCATATTGCATTCATTCGATTTACAGGAATATTTTGGAACTTTAAGCAAAATAATTTATATTTAAGAAGAAGACAGTTCTGGTTACCTAAAAATTTATTTCCAACTATTTATAAAACAACAAATACCTGTATCATCTCCATCATTTCTTCGGTTATAACATCCTTTTCTATAAGATGTTCCATCAATTCCTTTAGTACTAGCTGTTTGGCCAGGGATACACGGTTCTTTTTCAGTGCCTCTTGATGGCATTTCTGCATGCCACAAACACCCAGCATCCTGGAGATAAAGCAAATCACAATGCAAAGACGACATTTACTCTCTACATACTCCATAATCTGCTGTTGTTTAAAATGTAGAACAGACAATACAAAGGTATATATTTCAACATTTAGTTCATAACTTTTTTGGGGCCAAAGTTCTACAAATATTTATGAAGACGTAACCTATCCCAGAGTTTTTGAGACTATTTTCAAATTAAGCATACAGCCTTGAGGAAGAAGTGACGTATCTATTATGAATTCCAGAAACATAACATTTTGATTGAAATAGAGCAGAGAGTATTGCAAAATGATAAATGGGGGAAAAACTAGCTTTTAGATAGTTCTTTATTCTACAACAATTTTTTTTGTAAATATACATTTCTGTTAATAATCTTTTTGAGGACTAACCACAGATTCTCTCTACTCCTTTATTTACAACTTTGCATCACTCATAGCCAGCCAGTGAAGCCAGCTGGTCGAAAGAGGAAAAACAAACAAACCATTTTGTTATTAATCTAGTTACCAGATACTTTCTGCCAATGAGATTTTTTTAAAAAAGGATGATTAGTGTAACTATTGTGGTGGTAATTTATCATCTGTAGAACGTGGCAGTCAGTTTGGGTTAGGGTTCCAGCCTTTATACATGACAAAGGTCTGGCTTTAACCTATAATGTCTTAAATGGTTGAGCCAAACTATCTTGAAGTGTCTTCTGCCAGATTTACTGACCTCAAGCAACAAAGGCTCTTTTCCGATGTTCCCCACCTACATCAATATTGGGGGGGGGGACCCTTCTGCAATGCCCTTCTGCAATGCCCTTTCCAGAATATCTATGCTATGGCATTCTGGGCACAATATTTGAAGAACTACTAATATTTTTCAGATAACCAGTGAGATCACAAATCTCAACTCCACTCACCCCCATATTTTTAGAATGGGATGTGTATTTGCAAGTGAACAAAATGTCCTCCCTCATCCTCCAGGGTTATAAAAAATAATTTCTCCATTTTGCGTCCTTTTTTGCCTATTTTATTCCAGGAAAATTCCAAAAATTGAAAAAAAAATTAAGCCAGGGAGAGGCCTTGTTTTGAGCTGGAAACTAAGCCACAAATTGTGTCTGGTTTTGGAAAAAGGTTCCCCAAACTGTAAAAAGGAGTGGTCGTTGAAACATGACAAAACTGCCCATATTTGTCTCTAGATGGCAAAGAGATTTCTGTTTATTGAATTCATTTTTAAACACTGGAACCCTCAGAAAATATCCTTTGAGGCTAGATGTAACCTACAATTTTTCCAGTCTTGTTTCAGATCTCTGCACTATTCTATTTTTATGCTAAATGTATTTTGGTTATTACATATTGCTGTGTTTTTGTCCCTTGCAGATGATTTTATTATTATGATGAGTTGCTTTGCCATCATTGTTTTATTCTAATTTTTAAGTTTTTAATTTACATGCACATTAACCAAAGAACTTCAGCTACTGGAAAGTAGACAAGCATGGTGTCTAAAATACGTAGTAGCAACAAAAAATATTTTATATTGAAAAAGGACCATATTATCAGAATTATTCAAGCCTCAGTTTTTCACATGAGTGTGAAAGCTGACACAATGGGGTTGCAAGTGAAGATAGCTGACAGAGAAATCAACTCACTTTTGAAAACAGTACTGGAGAAGAATTCTGCAGATATCATGGACAGCTAAAGACAAATCCTTGGGTCATAGAATAAATCACTCCAAACTCTCTAAATGGTATCATTGGAAAAGGTGAAGGTGTGAAGTAGAATACAAGAAGAAAAGAGGATGACCACAATATAGGTGGATTAGGGCAATCTAGCCATGGTCCCAAGTTTCCAGAATCTATGCAGGGCTCTCTGAGGTCTCTCATTCATAGTCATGGGTTGTGTTGGAATTATATAAATATTTAATAATTTCTACTGTCTATTTTAGAAGTCTTCAATAATGTTCATAAATAGCAACTGCAGGCTCAAACCATCTCTTTCCTTAGAACATTTAAAGCTAAAATTGAATGGCCTGGTCTCCTGATTGGGAATGACAAAATGATGGAAGCACTCTTTACAGTAGACACATTCCTAAATGCATTTATTGCTACAATAGAGGCTATTTGAAAAGACATAGGAACTTAGTATGTAGGTATTTATTTATTTATTAGGATTATTTCTATCTCGTCCTCGCCTCCAAAGAGGGACTCAGGACGGCTAATTATGACTTGGCTACACAAAAATTTCTAGCAACATATGCTTATAAATTAGTACAGCCCTAAATATTTGTCTGCTTCCCATTATTAACAAAATAACCCCAACACGTATTCTCTATTAGAGAGATGGAGGATATGTGGCCCTTCAGACACCGGATACCACCCTTGAGCACTAGTTTGCATAGTCAACAAATCTGACCTTACAAATGGCTATACAGTACTCAAAAACCAGTTGCAGAACATTTCAACCTTCTTGGACAGACAGTAAGGGCTTTACAGGATTAAGTCACTGAACAATAAAATTACCAAGGGAAACTAATAAGAGAAACTGCTGGATTGAATGATATTCACAAATTTAAACCAAATACCAGGAGAATAAACAAAGACAATGACTACATGGCCTCTCATTCATTCGCAACTTTAATGTATTCTTGAAAAATTCCAAAAGGAAACATTATTTTGCCATTTTATATAAGCGACACCATTTTGCTATACTACTATATACAAAATGATTTGGTAATTGATGGATTTTCTTATCTGGAGTGGGGGTATGCTAGTCCTGGATCTAAACCCCAGCAGATACCAAGGGTTCACTGAATACTAATACAAGACTCCTGACTACTGAATATATAAAAAAGCAATATAACTAAAGTTTTGAATCCTGGGAAACTGACTTTTGATAAAGAGATTTACTGATTCCCCACATCACCATGAACTGATCATTGTAAAGTCCTAAAGAATCTGGAAAGTTCATTGTAAAGTTCTGAAGAACCCAGCCCTTAGAAAACTTAAAGGAAGGGACAAAATATGCCCCTTTCTGAATCCTATTATAGTCTATCGCATTCCCACAACTGTATAAATATGTTTAATGCCTGAACACTAAATACCATTAGCTACTCCACCCAAAGAAGTGGCTTTATATCAGGCATGAGCCAAAGTTGGCCTATGCCTGATTTATATACACAAAAGCTTATGTAAAAATAAAAACTAGTCTTAAAGGTGCAGCCACATTTTTCTCCCCCTTCCTTCCTCCTTTTTTGAAGCTATGTACACAAGTTCAATACTCAAAACTCTACACTAGACTGGCTCTTTATAGAATTGTAAGAGCTGGAAGAGACCAGAAAAGCCATCCAGTCCAAACTCCTGCCATGCAGGAGCACACAATCAAAGCACTCCCAATGTTTGACCATTAACTAAACATGAGAGAAAACATCTTGATGGTGAGAGATGTTTGGCAGTGGAAGATGCTGCCTGAAGTCTGGGGATGAACATCCAGACTCTGCTTGAAAATCTCCAAAGGAGACTTCACACACTGCAGTCCAAAACACTTGGTCCCCTTCCACACAGCCGAATAAAATCCCGCATTTTCTGCTTTGATCTGGAATATATGGCCATGTGGACTCAGATAATCCAGTTCAAAGCCGATATTGTGGGATTTTATGCCTCGATATTCTGGGTTACATGGTTGTGTAGAAGGGCCTTTGGACACCCATAGATTATGCAGGCCTGCCTTAGAATTGTAGAGTTAGAAGAGACCAGAAAAGCCAACCAGTCCAAACTCCTGCCAGCCAGGAACACACAATCAAAGCCCTCCTGACAGATGGCCAGACGCCTCTGCTTTAAAACTTCCAGAGAAGGAGACCCCACCACCCTCTGATGCAGCATATTCCACTACCCAACAACTCTCATCATCAGGAAGTTCTGCCTAATGTTTAAGTGGACTCTCTTTTCCTACAATTTAAACCAATTACTCCATTGTGTCCAAGTATCTGTCACACAGCCATATAACCCAGAATATCAAGGCAGATAATTCCACAATATCGGCTTTGAACTGGGTGATCCGAGTCCACACTGCCATATAACCCAGTTCAAAGCATATAATGTGGGGTTTTATACAGCTGTGTGGAAGTCTAAGCTTGACCTCTTCACAATGGGACATCCCTTCAAACATACAAACATAGCTATCATGTCCCCTCTCAGCCTTCTTCACGATAACAACAAATCATACTAGACTTTTAGGTGATTACTGCAGTGTTCTCTGCGTATGAGAATGAGAATGCAAGGAAGGAAGGAAGGAAGGGTGGGTAGCTGAGGGAGGCCCTTGGTCATCCGCGCCTGTCAGGGCCTGACAGGAAACCCTGCCTTCCGGGGTGCGCCCCAGGCCCGTCCCCACCGAAAGGGGGGCCTTCTCTATTTCGGGGTTCCCTCCCCCTCTCCCACCACAGTCATTCCTGTCATTTTCTGCCCGAAGGAAATAGTAACAGCAGCAACTCACTCGCTCGATTGCACTTGAGGCGCTTCGGGGCGTCCTTGAAGGCCTAGGCCCCTGAGGCGCGAGCTCCTCCTCCTTCCTCCTCCTCCCCCCTCCCCTCGGCCTCGGCGCGCGAGCCGTTTTCCCGCCTAAACTCCTCTCTCTCTTGCCAAGTCGCCGACGAAAGTAAAGGGCGGGCGAGAGGCGGGGGCGAGGACGGCGCTGGGTCACGTGGGCGCAACTATGCTATTTCTCTGTGCGCCTGCGCGAGAAAGAGACAGGGAAAAAAAACTTCACAGCAGCCATTTTTTATTGAAAAGGACCTCCAAGGATACGCCTTGGGGTTTTTTTGGTGTGTTGTGCGCATGCGTGGTTTTTCGCGAAAGTTGCTCAGGTTTTTGTAGTGCCCCTTCACGCTTTCCGTACATCTCTCAGAAAATGGTTTCATCGATAGTAAATACAGGCTCCTTCTACAATGCCATATAATCCATAGTATCAAAGCAGATTATTATTATTTAAAGTATTTGTATTCCTCCCTTCTCACCCCGAAGGGGACTCAGGGCGGAGCACAACATCTCATCCACATTATCAGCTTTGAATTGGATTATATAAGTCTACACTCCTATATAATCCAATTCAAAGCAAATAATCTGGATTCTATACATCTGTGTAGAAGGGGCCTTACTCTCAGTAACCTGAATGACTGTGACCCCCTTCTACACTGCCAGAGTATCGAAGTAGATCATCTACATTATCTGTTTAGAACTGGATTATATGAGTCTACACTCCCATATAATCCAGTTCAAAGAAGATAATCTGGATTTTATATGGAAATGTAGAAGGGGCCCAAAGAGTGCAAAAAGACATTGCTGATAATAAGCAAATGAAACAATAGATCATATCCTCTGCTGCTGCAAGAAGATCGCACAGACAGACTATAAGCAGAGGCACAACACCATTACTCAGATGATTCATTGGAACTTGTTCCACCAATACCATCTGCCTGCAACGAAGAAATTGTGGGATCACAAGCCTGAAAAAGTTACAGAAAATGAACACGTCAAACTACTCTGGGACTTCCAAATTCAGACAGACAGAGTTTTGGAGCACAATACTCCTGACCTCACAATTGTGTTAAAAAACAGAGTGGATTGTCAATGTTGCAATCCCAGATGACAGCAGGATTGAAAAGAAACAACTGGAAAAGCTGACACGATATGAGGATTTAACGATCGAACTACAAAGACTCTGGCACAAGCCAGTAAAGGTGGTCCCAGTGGTGATCGGCACACTGGGTGCAGTGCCTAAAAACCTTGGCCTGCACTTAAACACAATCTGTACTGACAAGATTACCATCTGCCAGCTGCAAAAGGCCACCTTACAGCACGCATTATTTGTGGATACATCACACAGTCCTAGACACTTAGGAAGTGTCCGACGTGTGATCCAATACAACAGCCAGATGAGTGATTTTGTTTGCTGTGGACTCATCTTGTTGTATTTCAAATAATAATCATTATCATCAACAACATCAAATAAATAATAATAATAATAATAAGCTGGCACAACAAAGCCTTGCATGGGAAGTTCCTTGAGAAGATTGAAGGAAAAGTTGATGAGAAGAAGACCTGGTTATGGCTCACAAATGGAACACTGAAGAAGGAGACAGAAGGCCTGATTCTTGCAGTCCAGGAGCAAGCCATCAGAACAAATGCAATTAAGGCCAGGATTTAAATATCGCAGCTGACATTTGGAAACAATAAACATTGACAAAATCACGACCACAACAAGCCATTTTTTTTTCAAACTCCAACTATCACAGGGACAGAAAGTGAGGTGAAATCTTCTGAAAAAGACCCATATGGTAGGAGTTACACTCAAAAATGTACATGTTCCAACTCACATACACATTCAACAAAAGCAAATCCTTGGGGACTGCCTATATATATATATATATATATATATATATATATATATATATATATATTTCATTGATTCATTCAGTGTATTTATTTATTTTGCTAAATTTTGTAATATTTCATGTATTGTTTTGCCATTGCTTTCTTGATTGTCAGAACCTGCCCCCATACTTGCATTTAAAAATTCCAGGTTCCCTGCAGTTCTTAGTTCTAGTTAGAGAAGAATCTGTACCAGAGGGATTTATGTAAGTTTTTACATGCCAAGTAACCATTGAATCTGTTGGAATTTAAAAATTGATTTAGGTCTAAAACCGCTGTTTCAGGCCCCTTCTACACTGCCATATAAAATCCAGGTTATCTGCTTTGAACTGGATTATATGGCAATGTCGACTCATATAATCCAGGACAAAGCAAATAATGTGGATTATCTGCTTTGATAATTCATATTGCATGGCACTGTAGAAGGGGCCTCAATTAATCTCCCAATTAAATAACAAGAGTTTTGAAAGGAAAGGCTGCCTTTGGATTGTGCTGTACATTTCACTTTCCAGAAGAGGGCATTATGTCCTTTCTCACAAAATGAAAAAAGTTGATTACTTAATACATTTTTTAGAATCTGATAAATATGCAGTCTAATGGTTTGCCTAAATGAGAGTATATGGTCTATTTTAACTCATTTTTACAAAGGCTGGTATATTAAATCAATTGTAAGAGTTATAACTGATTTATAAACTGAATATTACATAAAGCCTGCCAATATTAGGGGACAAAGAATCTCAGATAAACTGGATTTTATATGGCAGTGTGGAGGGGCCTCTTAGTGCTGGAAAAGCATGTTCATATGCTGTGGACAGCAGCCTGTTAATGACATATGTAATTGTACAAAGGACTATGTTTTGTTTGTTTTTTTCTTGGCTATTGCAGTGTTCTCTTCTGTCCAAAACCTGCCTCCCAGGACTCACCAGTTTTCTGAATGTCCATTCCATGAGGAGTTAGGTAAATACGTTACTGTCTTCTTAGAATAGAATATGCTACTGTTTTCTTAGAATAATTGCATCACCCACTGAGACCGGTAGAGGAACTTGGTAGAAGAAACCATCAGTTCTTGCCTTTGGAAAATAACCAAATGCTTCTCTAATCTGCTCTCCACCAATCATAGGAGACATCTACATTGACCATTTAGGTTGATATGAAACTGGCAGCGAAGGAAGCAGTTTCAGTGTGCGGATGATTCATTGGGAAGTTCTGGAACAGGTTAAAGGCCTGGATGGTGCTTATATATACCACAGAGGCTGGACTCAAACTGGTTCCATAATATGTAGGATCCATACTGTCATGTTCATGGAAGAATCAGGTGGGAGTTTTTATCTTTGCCCCACTGCAATGCACATGTGCAGATCACCCATCCTTTAATCAATTTCACCATGTTATGTGGTTTACATTTAAGTGCTCTGATGCTCATTACGGGTTCTATATCAGAGTATCACTTGACTTTGGCTATCATGGCTTAAAGTCCTTAAAGGGTGTTGCTACACATTTTTGTGATTTGCAGCACCTTAACACCACACTGTCAAGCTGCTTTCAAACTGTACTCAGTGACCAGTGCATATGTGCCCATAGAATAGTCATCCAGTAGAAGAGGCAATTGAGTAAAACAATAGTCCTGAAGGAGTAAATGGGGGACTCCTGCAGAGTTCTGCTTGTAAAACTCTTATGCTGGATAATGAAGGTGCTTGGCTTATAGGTGCCGTATAAGAGCGGGTTTGAGGGTAGAGGAGACTATGGAGGGCTTTAAAAGTAAGGATGTTCTGGATGATCAAACAGATAGCAAGTGTAATTGTTTTACGTGGGAGGAATCCTTCATAGAGGTGAGGGAAAGTAATGGCACAATAGAAGACCAGATAAGTGGTTGTCATCATGGTGAGTGGTGAAGTATTGTGGCGATATGGGAACACAGGTTGAGCACCCCTTATCCAGAATTTGAAATATGAAGTAGTCCAAATTGTTTACAACTGTGACCGAGTTAGTAAAACCATTGTTTTCTGATATTTCAATGTACACAAACTTTGGTTCATGGAGATGCTCAACTACTGCCAGGGCACAGACTTCTTATGACACTGAATCACACATAATTTTTGCACAAGGAGGTGCTTTGTTTTCAATTGTGTTGAGTGGGGCTGGGCAAGGCTGCAAGTCTGAAGCCAAAATTCTTGAAAAGGGGGAGGGAGAGAGAGAGGCTTCCTGTTTACATGTTCTTTTGTGAATATCACCTCAATTACAGAAGAAAACATTGTGCTGTCCAGTTCCTGGAAATGAAAACAGAACTGGTTGTATGTCACATTAATAAAGCAGTAGAGTACTTGCCGCATCCACTTAGGTTGGTGGGAAAAAACCTAAAATATATTGAAAAATATATTCCACCACGTAAGCATTTCAGTGGTTGCATTGTCAACCTCCTGGGTATGAGGATAAGAAGAAAAAGAGACAGGCAGCTTTCTACAGTCAGGTTTTGTTTTGGGGCAATATATATGTGTGTGTGTGTTTCCTTTGAATTACAGTGACAGTAAGTCACTTTGTTGTTGGATGAAGACTTTGTAATTCTGGGTTCTAGACTCTACTAAACCTTGACACTCATTGTGTGACACTCATTGTGTTCAATCTGTCTCAGCTTGACCTACCTTACAAGGGTTGAAATAAGAGCTGTGTGCATTACCTTGACTGCACTGGAGAAAAGGTAGGATATAAATATAGGGAAATAAATACCATAACCGTGCTTCCCAATTTGTTGTTGTTGTTGTTGTTCATTTGTTCAGTCGTCTCCAACTCTTCGTGACCTCATGAACCAGCCCACGCCAGAGCTCCCTGTCGGCCGTCACCACCCCCAGCTCCTTCAAGGTCAGTCCAGTCACTTCAAGGATGCCATCCATCCATCTTGCCCTTGGTCGGCCCCTCTTCCTTTTTCCTTCCACTTTCGCCCAGCATAATTGTCTTCTCTAGGCTTTGCTGTCTCCTCATGATGTGGCCAAAGTACTTCAACTTTGTCTCTAGTATCCTTCCCTCCAATGAGCAGTCGGGCTTTATTTCCTGGAGGATGGACTGGTTGTATCTTCTCGCAGTCCAAGGCACTCTCAGAACTTTCCTCCACACCACAGTTCAAAAGCATCTATCTTCCTTCGCTCAGCCTTCCCTAAGGTCCAGCTCTCACATCCGTAGGTTACTACAGGGAATACCATGACTTTGACTATGCGGATCTTATTTCCAGTGTGATGTCTCTGCTCTTTACTATTTTATCGAGATTGGACATTGCTCTCCTCCCAAGAAGTAAGCGTCTCCTGATTTCCTGGCCACAGTCTGCAACTGCAGTAATCTTTGCACCTAGAAATACAAAGTCTGTCACGGCCTCCACGGTTTGTCCTTCCTTCCCTCTTTCCTTCCTCCTTCCCTCTCTCTCTCTTTCTTCTTCCTTCCTTTTCCCTTTTGTATTTCCTGAAATCCAAAGTCTGTCACGGCCTCCACATTTTCTCCCTCTATTTTCCAGTTGTCAATCATTCTTGTTGCCATAATCTTGGTTTTTTTTATGTTTAGCTGCAACCCAGCTTTTGCGCTTTCTTCTTTCACCTTGATTAGAAGGCTCCTCAGCTCCTCCTCGCTTTCGGCCATCAGAGTGGTGTCATCTGCATATCTGAGGTTGTTAATGTTTCTTCCAGCAATTTTCACCCCAGCTTTGCATTCATCAAGCCCCGCACATCGCATGATGTGTTCTGCATACAAGTTAAAAAGGTTGGGTGAGAGTATGCAGCCTTGCCGTACGCCTTTCCCAATCTTGAACCAGTCTGTTGTTCCATGGTCAGTTCTTACTGTTGCTACTTGGTCCTTGTACAGATTCCTCAGGAGAGAGACAAGGGGGCTTGGTATGTCCATCCCACCAAGCCCCCAAGCTTCCCAATACGTTTTTAAAAACCAGAAACTCTTGCTCCTGAAATCATATCAATCTCCAAGAAAAAAATCATCTGTGCATTTGTCATTAGTGTAGTACACTCTTAGGTTATAGTTCAACAGATTTGAAGTATTTAAAGCCACATATGTACAAATTCTTCTTAAGGTCATCCTACACAGCTGAATAAAATCCCACATTAAAAATCCCACAGTCCAGACACTGGAAGTAGTGGGTTTATCCTGCGCCTTCCAAGAGGCACAAAATAAACCCACTATCAAATTCATTCACCACAAACCAGGGTTTTCCTGGTTTGTGGTAGATTAATGCAGGTTTGTCCGGGATGTCATCTGGACAGCCTCCTTTTTATTGTAGTAACTCCCACAATAAAGGGGCTGTCTAGATCCACCCTGGATTATATGTCTATATGTAAGGGCCCCTAGATCTGTCATCAAGAGAGGAGTGTAAAATGTTCAAGTTCAAAATATGCAGGTCCTGTATTTTTTTGTTGCACGTGTATACTAGAGAAAATTTCTAAATCTTGAGAGTAAACCTAAACCAATATATGTGAAAGTATATCCTATAAGTGTCAAAGGTGTGCCTGGTGTCTCCTTGACGTTCAAAGATAGCTCTATACTTTATTATATTCCATAACAAAGAATGCTCCCCATATACAATACTGGTATTCACCTACCAGTCCTTCTCCCAGACACAGAAATGACCTCAGCTATTTCTATTTGCACTGGACACCTCGGTCTATCTGCAATAATGGCAATTTAACAGATGATTCTCAAGTTTAGAGAAATGTTGAGGTGAACATCTGAACAAATTCAGGAATCATTTTTTTATCTGGCTAAAAATATTATACTTTTGCAACAGAACTTACTTGGAATGGTGATACATAGCAGGCATAAACAAGAGAACCAAGAATTATCTCAATCAGCAAATTTCAAAGTCAGGTCAAAATACATCTAGGGATTTACTATTTGCTCATTTTTTTCCCTGATTGCATATACCTAAAGAAGACCACTTTAAAAAATTTGAAAACATATTTTAAGTTAGGCCCATTTCAAAGCTTTTTGGTCTTTGATTGGTATTCTTCTTATTATCACTTTCTGACTGCCTCGAAAGCAACAGAATTTCTCTGTTTGAAACAAGGTGGCATTTTATACTCATGACAGCTCATAAGATCAATCTTTTTGAAAAAATATGTGCCAAGCAGTCCTTTTCCTTCTCCAGTACAGTTTCAAAGCAGCCTTTGAGTCTACAAGAGCAGGACAGTCTGAGAATGTCAGAAGAAAATGCCACAAGATCCCTCTCTTGACCCTCTCCATTGAAAATGGGGAGGGAAATACTGTCATGACTTTTCGTCTAAAATGTATACATTTCTCATGACATTTAAACAAAGAGAAGGAGGGCTCCCAAGGCAACTCAAATGCCTATGAACTGCAACAGCAAAGCCAATCGTGAATTCAAAGACAGTACTATAGTGTCATTGTAGCAATTGTCTTTTACAGGGTTTTTTCCATCATAGCCTTGATGGCTGGAATTCCTCTTCAAAAACCTCATCACCACTTGTATTCTCATATGCAGGAGGTGGCGTGAGGGGCTCTAGCCGTTCTAGGCGCTCTTCAGACCCCTTGAGCTCATGGTTATCTGAGACCACCCGCTGCAGTCTTGGGGGGAGTACCAGCCGCAGGCGTAACCTTGAGTTCATGTCCGCCTCTGAAGCGCGCCGTGTGCCTGGTGCCACAGAGACACGGACTGTCTCCACCACAGTCTCTCCATGGGCAGGAGGTTCAATAACCACGCTGTAGGGAGGAGGATCTGGCACGGTTGTGCCAGGAGTAGATGTAATCGTCCAGATCGTTGGTGCTGCATCTGAGATGTAGCCAGTAGCCACCACTTCCTCATATGCTGGTGCCTCATAGGCTGCATTGTCTCTACAGGTGAAAAAAAAAGTAAAAGGGAGGAGGGTTAAATCCTATCATTATAATGCTATTCCACTTCATCATGTCCTTTATGCCACCTTTATGCTAACCATAGATGCCTCCTAGGTCATGTGGCAGGCATGAAAAACAAAAAAACACCTGGTCTCTTAGGAAATCATTTACAGGAATACCATAACCCTGGAACATGTCTCAGATTTTGTACTATAGAAGAGACAAATAATATTGAGTAGAAGATTCTCTTAAGGAAAGAGTGGGTTTTTACATTAAAATCTTTTGTCCTTTTGGCTCATTTAGGATCTTGTTTTCCTCCCAATCCTGTAAATGCCCTCACTGACCCTCGGCTGCACTCTCTCCCTAGAACCCAGTTGGGTAGATAACTTTTTTGAATATCATATACTTTCCCCTGACTACCTGTTAATGCAGGGCCCTTCCACAGAGACCTATATCCCAGAATATCAAGGCAGAAAATTACACATTATCTGTGTGTGAACTCAGATAATCCAGTTCAAAGCAGATATTGTGGGTTTTTCTGCCTTGATATTCTGGGATATAGGGCTGTGTGGAAGGGCCCTCGGAAAAAACCTTGAAAGCCTAGTTAACATGTTTCATTTTGTCCAACAAATGGAAAAAGATTTTTGGCTTCAAGAATTTCTGCAGTCAGATATGAAATCAGTGCATACAAATTCCAGACATTGTACAAAAATGTATGTTTATGTAATGTTCTGTTTCATCATATAATTATGTGTTGTTGTTCATGTTTTTATGTAACCTCTGAAGAAGGGCCAAAAAAATTCCACTTTGGCTTTTAAATTATAAATTTGCCATGCATTCTGGAGGAAAGCAATGGCTTTCACAAAGGTTTTCACAAAGCAAGCCTTTATCATTATTTCCATACATATCACAACCACATTTTCATTTGCCACAAAAATGCCAGTTAAGCTGGACACTAGTACAGGCTGAATGTTCCTTACCTGCAATGCTTAGGATCAGAAATGTTTTGATATCTGGGGACCCTTCCACACAGCCCTATATCCCAGAATATCAAGGCAGAAAATCCCACAATATCTGCTTTGAACTGAGTTATCTGAGTCCACACTCAGATAATGTGGGATTTCCTACCTTGATATTCTGGAATATAGGGCTGTGTGGAAGGGCCCTGTGTTTTTCAGCTTTTAGAATACTTGTATTTGCACATACATTCATGAGATACTTTGGAGATAATATCCAAGTTTAAATACAAAATTCATTTGTTTCATAGATACCTTATATAAGTAAATGTAAACATTTCCCTTTGACATTAAATCTAGTCAAGTCTGACTCTGGGTGGTGGCGTTCATCGCCATTTCTAAGCCAAAGAGCCAGCATTATCTTTAGACACTTCCAATGCCATGTGATCAGCATGACTGTATGGAGCGCTATTACCTTCCCACCGGAGCTGTACCTTTTGATCTACTCATATTTGCACATTTTCGAACTGCTAGGTTGACAGAAGCTGGGGCTAACAATGGGAGCTCACTCCACTCCGTGAATTCAAATAGCCGATCTTTCACTCAGCAAGTTTCACAGCTCAGCAGTTTAACCTGCTGTGCTACTGTGGCCCCTATTATATAAGTAGCATGGAAGTAATTTATACACAATATTTGTAATGAGTCTGTGTATGAAACAAAGTTGGTGCACATTGAATAATCAGAAAGCAAAAGTTTCACTGTTCCAGTCACCCATGTCAGTGATTTGTGAGTAATTCAAATTTCAGAATTCTGGAAAAGAGAATAAAGGTCAAGTTTGGTAAAAGCAGGATATGCAAAAGCAATTCATCCTGTAAATTATTGGAAACAGTATGGGAAGTGATAGAAGCTTTTTGTGCCAAATTACACAAAAAGCAGGTGACAGGCAAGCAGAGCGCTGTCAGAATTCATGCAAGGCATTTGATGATCACATATGCTTTTACATATGGGAATAGTCCCTTTACAGAAACAACATCCCAAGGATGTCAGGAAGAAGGACAGACTACAGCAAGGGCTTGAAATGCTACTTTGGTGAACTTTAATTCTGAGGATACCCTAATCTAGATAGCAGATTCTGGAAACTATTGTCCAAAACTATGGTAAGTCTTCCAATTTTTGCTGTAACTCTTATTTTTCACATCTGTTCAGATGCAATATGAAACAATGGTTTGACATTACATTAAGTACTAACTCAAACCCTCAGGTTTATGCAGTCTTTTATCTTCTAGCTTGCAATGATTCCCTGTCTACTATCTTGATTTAAGATATATCATAACTAATCAGTGCTCTGAATCTTTCTTTTTTAGTTCTCTTAGGCCCCTTCTATACAGCTGTATAAAATCCAGATTATCTGCTTTGAACCGAATTATTTAGCAGTGTAGACTCAGATAATCCAGCTCAAAGCAGATAATGTGGAATATCTGCCTTGATATTCTGGATTATATGACACTGTAGAAGGGTCATTAATCAAGATGTAGCTTCTCAGCACAATAGATCATATAACACTCACAAGAAGAATCCTGCAATTCAGTCAGTTATGCCTGTCTGTTTTTTACGCATACAAATGTATACATTTCTACCTGGTTTCATCTCCACGGGGAATGAGCCAGTGGGTCTGTCAAAAAAGTACAGGTGAAACCAAAATACTTTGGTTTACATCATAGATAGTTTGTAAGAATACATTATTGCTGAGAAAATCCATTTTCTCTCCAGCTATTTGTGGGTACTGAAGAAACAAGTGGGTACTCAGAGAAACAAGTGAGTCCACATGGGTAGCTGGCCTGTGGTGCCATAGTGCCTGCTAAAGTTCTGGGGCTTCAATCCTATGAGTCCCAGCTCCAATACACCTCTGTTCTTAATATATGGCACACTGAATGAATTAGTAGATATGTTGTTCATGCTATAGGTTGTACCTGATATACTAAATTAAAACTGGAAAAATGTCCTCAAGATGACTTGAGACGGGATGAGAGACAGGGCCTTCCCAGTGGTGGCCCCTCGGCTATGGAATGCCCTTCCTACAGGTATTAGATTGGCCCCCTCCCTGTTAGCATTTCGGAGGAAAGTGAAGACCTGGTTGCTTAAGCAGGCATTTGAAAAGGCAATGTAATGAATATAGGAATATGGAACACTTGGGTGACAAGACAGGATCTTGATTTTAACTATGAGACGCTAATGAGATGTTTTATTGATGTATAATGATTGCTTATTATGCATTTGTTTTTAATTGTTTTACGATGTTGAGCATTGAATTTATGCTACTGTAAACCACTTTGAGTCACCCAAAGGGCTGAGAAAAGCGGCATATAAATGGAGTAAATAAATCAATAAATCAATAAAATAAACTTATGGAGACTCTAGGGAGAACCTGTCATGGGGTTTTCTTGGAAAGATTTTCCCAAAGGGTGTTACCTTTTTTTCCCTCTGAAGCCCTTTCTACACTGCCATATAAAACCAAGATTATCTGCTTTGAATGTGGATTATCTGCTTCGATAATCTGGATGATAGAGCGGTGTAGAAGGGGCCTTAGAGAGTGTTACTTGTCCTACTTCACCCAGTGGGTTTCCATGGCTTTGAAACCCTGGTCTCCATATTTGTAATCCAATGCTGCAACCACTACATCATACAAGCTCTCCAATATGTATAGGTGTATACTTTAGACCAGGGGTCCTTAAACTAAGGCCCGGGGGCCGAATACGGCCCTCCAAGGTCATTTACTTGGGCCTCACTAAGGGTCAACCTAAGTTTGAAATGACTTGAAAGCACACAACAACAACAACAATCCTATCTCATCAGCCAAAAACAGGCCCACACTTTCCATTGAAATACTAATAAGTTTATATTTGTTATAATTGTTCTTTATTTTAATTATTGTATTGTTTTTAAGGGTTTTTTAAAAACTACAAATGAGATATGTGCGGTGTGAATAGGAATTCATTCATGGGGTTTTTTTTTTCCAAATTATAATCCGGCCCTCCTACAGTTTGAGGGACTGTGAGCTGGCCCTCTGTTTAAAAAGTTTAAGGACCCCTGTTTTAGACCAGTGTTTCTCCAGCATGCATCCTCAGGATTTTATCTGCTCATTACAGATATATATCTATATCTATATATATCTGAGCTAACTGTGTGTAGGGGGTTTTTAAAATCATGACTGTTTTTCAAATTGTGATCCTTATAGAAAGCATTATTGAATTCACTGGCTGAAGATGAGGTCATCATTAAAAAGGTAAGGCAAGCTAATGGAGAATGACTAAATAATTGGCTGTTAGCCACTCTAGTCATATAGACCCTCCGTGTTCAGAAGCAATATATCTTTGAACTGTAATTTCTGTGAACCAACAGTATTGATAGGCCTTTGCCTTCATGCTCAACTTGTAAATGTTCCAGAAATAGTCAGGTCAACAATGGAGTTGGAATATCACATTTGATAGATCTCTCAAGGCCTGTCCAGACAGTATTTTTATCCCAGGAGCTTCCACAGCAAACAGGAGGATGGCCAGATGTCATTCCCTGTAAACACTGAAGCAATCACTACAAAAGGCAAAAAACGCATGATTTCCAAGTGCAGGAATATCGTCATTTTGAGCCAAATATCTTTGCATGTCTGAATGTCCCTGCAGTTGGAAATCACGGGATTTTTTATCTGGGTTTGTTCCTAGGTTTTAGATATTTGTTCCTGATCGATCAGTTCCTAAAAAGAAGGTGACACTTGAGTAGAAGGCAAAAACTTTGTGTGCCAGAAGCTTCATGAAATGTGTGGAGGGCACATTTTATCTGGCCAGGACAAAGAATGGATTCTCCACATATCCGCATCTCGATGGGTTTTAAAAAAAACTGCTGAAATTTCCAGTGGAATTCCCATGGCAGCCATTTCAGGAGCCTCTAAATCTTGCAACAAAGCATCAAGTCTGGACAACGGAGGCAGAAAACCTGGGGTCAGCAAGTCTGTATGTGGACCTCTTCTAAAGTCCCGGGATTTTTTGCCCGTTTTAGTGCTGCCTGGAAGTGTCTTCACTCTGATCTAAAAGTCCTTTTCCATCGTTTATCATATTATTTGTTGTTTGCATCAATTACCAGCCTGTGGTTTGAAATTAATTTACAAGAAGGAATGAAGGAAGAAAGGAAGGAAGGAAGGAAGGAAGGAAGGAAGGAAGGAAGGAAGGAAGGAAGGAAGGAAGGAAGGAAGGAAGGAAGAGGAAATTAAAATGTAATTGCTCACCCTGCCTGACTCGATCTCCTTGGGGCCGTGGGGTTTTCTTGTGCTGGATTCTGATGCTTTATATACTGCTCTACTGCCACAGAAACAAGGTAGCCCACCAAACACAGGGCCCCGATTGCAAGGAAGAAAAACCCCACAGGGTTAATATCGGTAGATATAGCTAGCATGGTTATTCCGATAAGAAGGGTGGCAGTGAAGAGCACCAGCAACGTTTGACGAAGGTTCCTCCAGTGTGACGCTGACAACATGGCAGGGTGAGTGGTAATAATGGCAGCCAACAAGAAGAGACTGGACAGTTGAGTGAACAAACATCTGTTAAAGAGATGGAAATGCAAGGCCACAAATGAAGTCACACATAAGCATCGAACCCAAACACGACAAAAGTATGATACATTATATGACATGATGAATATAAGTTGTACATCCTGATCTGGAATTCTAAAATGCTCCAAAATCTGAAATTGTTAAGTGGCTGAAACAGGGACACCTTTCGGATGGCTCAGTGGGGTTGATGCTATGCTGCACGCTTGTCTTTTAAAATTATGCATTGCAATAAGTTTTCCAGATATTGCTGGACTGCAACTGCCAGAACTCTTCAACATTTGGCTGTGGCTAAGGGAGTTACAATCCAATGAAATCTGGAGGGCCATGAAATTGCTTGCTCTGATAGGGAAAGGACAATTTTCCAAAAGGAACATGATTACATCAAAATACTCCCAAAATGGTAGGGTATAAATATTTTTCAAGATTATTTTAATAAATAAATATTCCTTTAAGGCAAAGTTCCACAAAAGAGTCACATCTGACATTTTCTAGGTGAGTTTTTGCAGTCTTTTGGGGTTGGGCCTCATTTATATATTATATCACTGCATGAAAAATGTCAGGTTACATAAACAGCATGAACTCTCCAGGGATTGAAACTGCTTCGGACTGGATCTATACTGCCATATAATCAAAATTATCAAAGCAGATAATCCACATTATCTCCTTTGAGCTAGGTTATATGAGTCTACACTGCCATATAATCCAGTTCAAAGCAGATAATCTGGATTTTATATGGCAGTGTAGAAGGGGCCATCATTCTATATTGAACCTGTTGTAGAAGAGTAGTAATAGTAGAGATCTTAGCAGTGTCTATTTACATATCTAATTTAAAAGCTCAAGATTTTCCCATCCTAAATAGTAGAGAACATTAACCTCTACACTAGTGGTTCTCAACCTGTGGGTCATGGCCCAGCAGTGGGCCGCTAGAACAAAAATCTGGTTCGCGAACCTCCTTCCTCTTTATTTTATTTCTACTCCTTTCCGCAGAGCTAGCCAGCCCTTCCCATTTTGGTACTAATGTTGGAGAGTGGTCCTTGGTCAAAATGGTCCTTGGTCAAAGTGGGCCCTGATCAAAGTGCGTCCTGCTCCAAAAAAGTGGTCTACATGATAAGTACATGTAGAACTAGAAAATGATAATTGTAAATTGTTTTTTTAATAGGACATCATATTGATATATTCTAACAAAAACAGTAATGACACTTGCATACTGGCAAAAAATCATTTGGTACAACTGTTCTTCACATGAAGAAAAACATGTTGTGTCTGTCTCTCATGTAGTTTTTAAGGTCACCTACGATATTAAAGAAGCGGTAACACACCTCAACATCATATATGTGATTTGATAGGATTCAAACCTTTGTCATTCAGAGTTCTATTTGTTAATCAGTATTTCTTTTATCTAATTTCAAAGTGTTTTGCTTGGGTGAGAAAAATCTCTTAGTTTTATTTTCTTGTGAAACTAACTTATAAAGAAAATCCAGTTGTTTCCAACTTGCAGAAATTTGCATTATTTTACAATAATTGAAATTAAATTCTGGCCCATAATTAATTTCCGCTGCTAACGCAGTGGGTTAAACCATTGAACTGCTGAACTTGCTGACTGAAAGATCAGCAGTTTGAATCCAGGGAGCAGGGTGAGCTCCTGCTGTTAGCCCCAGCTTCTGTCGACCAAGCAGTATAAAAACATGCAAATGTGAGTAGATCAGTAGGTACCGCTTCTGCGTGTGACTGGGAGATAATGTGGAAGAAAAAAATTAAAAACACTTATGCAACGGACTTAAAGGAGAATTGGATGAAAATGTTTCATAGGTGGTATATGACCCCAGTTAAATTAAATCATATGTATAAGGAGGTATCAAAATCGTGTTGGAAATGTAATGTGCATGAAGGCAGCTTTTTCCACTTATGGTGGAGCTGCGGAGAATCTCAAAAGTATTGGAAAGTTATCCATGAGGAATTGCAGAAAATACTTAACAAAAAATTTCCAAGAAAAGCAGAATATTACTTATTGGGAATTACAGACGTTGATATAAAATTAGATTCGAATGAGGACATTCTGTTTACGTATATGACAACTGCCGCTAGAATGGTCTTTGCGAAACTTTGGAAACTGAAAGAAATACAAGATAAACTCCTTTGGATAAATAAGGTGAATGAAATTAAGGATATGGACAAGTTAACGTTTTTATTGAAAAAGAATACAGGCAATCCAATTAAACAGACGAATTGGTCAACAATTGACGATTATATGGAAACTAATTATAAGGACTTATAATAGTACTGAGGACACAATCGAGATGTAAACTGGATTAAATTCAAGACATCGACTTAAGAGATGACTGAACGGGCAGTATCAGAAGGAAGTCCAATTTTTATTTTTATTTTTATTTTTTAATTTTTCTGTGTGTGTGATTTTTTGTTGTTATTTGATTTTTGGATCTTTGAATCTTTTTTTCTCCTTTTTTTTCACACGGGGTTATGGGTACTATCTTCTTAATTTTCCTGCTTTTCCATCTTCTTGGATTATTCTCCCACTTTCGCTGTAATTATAAAACTCAATAAAAAGTTTTTTTTAAAAAGTAGGTACCGCTTCTGCGAAAAGGTAATGGCACTCCATGCAGCCATGTTGGCCACATGACCTTGGAAGTGTCTACGGACAATGCCGGCTCTTCGACTTAGAAATGGAAATGAGCAATACTCCCCAGAGTCTGAAACAACTAGACTTAATGTCAAGGGGAAACCTTTACCTTATAATTTATTTCGTCAAAGTAGGAAAGTTATACTCTACATTTCAGCAAAAGGGTACTTATTAAGAGTAATTCCTGCTGAAAAGTCAGCAAGAAAAGCAAAAAAAAAAAAAAAAGAGGCTCAGCAGCCCACCCAGCCTATTCTGACTTCACTTGTTTCCTTCTCCCAGGTGAACTTTTCTCTAACTTGAACATGGTGTGCATGCATACATATATACAGCAGCATTTTCACTCATAGCATACCAAAGGAAGGAATGGATCTACTGGGCCCTCTACTGTCTGATGGTGTGTCATTTCACAGCTCCTTTAAGTTTTAGACAGCTGCTCTCAAGTGAATATGTCCATGGTGCCGCTTCTTCTTTTGGGCCACAAAAAATTCCAAACTAAAGAAGTAGTACTTTCCCTGGCTGTTTGGCAATAATGATAATAACATGCTTTCAAAAAAAAAAACCAAAAAACAAAAACACAACTCAAGTTCTGTCTGTGCATGCCTGAACTTAGTCAGTTGACAGCAAGAACACAGGAAAATTCCACTCTGTGGAATCAGAGAGAGACGGTGGTTGTGAAACCTCAAACTATGAGAAAGAGGAGAGGAAGGAACCAAATAGAGAAACTCATAGACGCTTTGGGTTTCCTTGTGGAGAAAAAAAAGCAGGGTATAAATAAACCCAATGAAAACAACAACAACAACGTGTATGGGGCGGGGGTGAGATAATTGCTTAAATGTACAGGTTATGATTTTGGATGGCGTGACTGGTTTTTAATTGTGTTGTTTTAGTGTCTTGGTTTTAATGTAACTGTTTATTTGATTGTATGTTTATGACATCGAATTGCTGCCTAATTTGTAAGGCAGCTCTGAGTTCCCTTTGGGGTTGAGAAGAGCGGGATATAAATGAAGTAGCTCAGCTGGTTGGGAGTCAGTTACATTAAAATCACTACTGACCGGAAGGTCATGAGTTCGAAGCCAGCCCAGGTCAGAGTAAGCCCCTGACCATTCATCTAGCTTTGCAGTCCAAAAGACAGTTGCATCTGTCAAGTAGGAAATTTAGGTACCACTTATGCAGGGAGGCTAATTTAACTCATTTACGGTGTCATAAAACTCTCCAGCAGTTTGCAAAAGAATGAGGAAGTACTCAATCGGTGTCACAAGTGGATGGCGAAGTAACAGCTCCCCCGGTGGCAGGAATTCAAAACATAATCTCATGAATCCGGAAAGTTAAATAGCCTCTGTGTGTCTGTCTATATAAGTTGTGTGTCTATGGCATTTCATGTTTGCCATGTATATGTGCATTGTGATCCACCCTGAGTCCCCTGCAGGGTGAGAAGGGTGGAATATAAATATTGCAAATAAATAAATAAATAAATAAATAAATAAATAAATAATAAAATGCTCTGTCTCCTAAGTTCCTGCAGTGTTTAAAATAGTAGATATAGGTATCCATGCATTTATATCCCACCTTCCCATCAGTGAGCTCAAGATGGTGCATGTGACTCTCCTCTTCCTCCCTTTATCCTTTCAACAACCCAGTGACAGATTAGGCTGAAAGAGATGGAATCAGCCATAGTCACTCACTAGTCATTCTGACTCAACTGAATTTCCCAAGTCCATGGCAAACTCCAATACTACCCGTGTACCCACACTGTAGAATTATTGTAGTTTGATACCATGTTAACTGCCATGGGCCCTTCCTACAGAATCCTGGAACTTGTAGTTTGCTGTGGCACTAGCACTCTTTGACAGATAATGTGAAAGACCTTGCAAAACTACAAATCCCACGATTCCATAGAAGTGTTGGAGTTCCAACACTTAAAGTGGTGTCAAACTGCTATAGCTCTGCAGTGTGGATACACAACTCATTGGCTCCATTTACCTGCACACTGAACAAAGTTCTAGTCCTAAAAACAAAGAGAAGGATGAATGAGATAAATGTTGTAGTTTGAGGTTCTGAATGTTTTTATTGATTCAGTCTCCTGGTAGAACAGGCAGCAGTGATTCCATTTTAAGTACACTTGCTTTTTCGCCAGGTTTATGGACTGTAGTAAAACCATCTGAAAGCATATCTGGTTGTATTTACACTTTTCTTCAATTGTTGCTGCGGCTTGCTAAGATTTTAGTTCATATATCAGAGACTAAACAATTCAGTTGGGAAAGCAAGCATCCCTATAATCCACATATACATGAGGATTATAGGAGTGTTAGATTTGAAAACAGGAGCCTAAATTTAGAAATCTTCTTATGCCACATATACAAAGCCATATCATCCAGTTTCTGAATCCAGATTATCTGCTTTGAACTGGATTATATGGCAGTGTGGTTTCATATAAACCAGTTCAAAGCGGATAATTTGGATTCAGAAACTGGATTATATAGCAGTGTAGATCCAGCCTCAGACTCCATCTACACTGTCATATATGAGTCTAAACTGCCATATAAAATCCAGATTATCTGCTTTGAACTGGATTATATGGCAGTTTAGACTCATATAATTCAGTTCAAAGCAGATGATCTGCTTTGATCATGGATTATAGGAAGAGAAGATCCCGCCTCAGACATAGAGTATATTGTATATGACTCTCTATTAGTCACCTTAATCTATTCCACAGTTTTATGAAGACAAGCATGTGGTCTGTATTCACTGACCTGAGAAAGGGACACTTAAAAAAACAAACCTTTAAATGTAAGATGATGACATTAATATGTACACATGAATACTACCAAATCTTTACTGATTAAAAATATATACCCATAATAAAAATGATATTTTCAGTCTTGTCATTTTAAAATTGTAGTTATTACAAACTAAAGTTTTTAAAAAACAGGCTATACTTGTTGACCTTTAAGATACTGTAGATTGTATTTATGATTCATGATTGTTGTTGCAATCTAAGGATTAAGCATGTGCACATTCTTTGCAGCCGCTTGGATTCTCATGATTTAAATGCCGTAATGTTTCTTCTATATATTACAGGAAGTATTTTGTAAGATTTCTGTGAAAAAGCAAGCATGACAAGGCAATATCTACATGTGATGTTTCAAAGTTTCTCTGTACAATCTGTTTATTTTTAAAAAATCTGGGTCCAACGGGGGCACTATTTTTCTGTCCAATGTATGAAGAAATTGGTTCATGGATAATTTTTAAGAAGGTAAATGTAAAGGTTTCCCCTTGATATTAAGTGTAGTCGAGTCCGACTCTGTGGGGTGGTGCTCATCTCCATTTCTAAGCCAAAGAGCTGCCGTTGTGCGTGGACACCTCCAAGGTCATGTGGCCAGCATGACTGCATGGAGCACCATTACCTTCCCACCAGAGTGGTATCTATTGATCTACTCACATTTGCATGTTTTCGAACTGCTAGGCTGGCAGAAGCTGGGACTAACAACAGGAGCTTTCGGTTAGCAAGTTCAGCAGCTCAGTAGTTTATATTGCAATCCTAATAGTAAAGCCACCAAAGCTGAACTAATTTTCTGAGGGAAAATGCTCAGAATTGTTTTCGCTTCAGAGCATTATCTATGTAGGACAGGAGAGCATGCAGCAAGCACATTGGAGCAGTCACAAGGAAAACAATTCCATAGCGGAACTGAAACTCCATTCATTTGCTAGGTATGTCGTGTTACACCTACTAGTATCCTTACCACATTCAGCCACAGGGTTCAAACATGAATAGTCTCTTTCCCTGCCAAAGAGAAGGCACCCCAAAAGCCATGTGAACTCACCAGACATAAGTGTCCTACACCATCCCCAGCCATGAGCTCTTGCTGCTTGTTTTCATTGCCAGGTAACTGTCCACAATCTTCTTCGCTTCGGTTCCCAGCAGGGCAAGAAACACCAACAGTGCCTCACCTTTCCTGTCTCTTCGCTCTTTAAGGGAACCTACCCAAGTTTAAGAAGGAAAAGGCAAGTGTAGGCAGAGAGTAAACTCCAGGGCAAGCAATGTCTTAAGACGCAGAGTCGTAGTTGTGGATTTTGCCTCCTCTGTAGACTGTGTTTTGCTCTCCTCTCTTGCCTTCCCAGCCAAGCCACCTCGAGGGAACAGGAAGCTCACTGGGGGAAAGGGCGGCGTATATGAATGCGTGTGTAATCTGCTGTTCCTACTCCTCTTTTCCTTCCAGGGCCAAGATTTCTCATTTTTCTACAGAAAGCCTTTGTTGACATTTCCCCTTCATGGGGTGGGGCCATATGCCCAGCCCCAGGTCACATGGTCCTTTCATAAAACAATTTATGATCCATATAGAGGTATATGTTATGAGTTCTTCCTTCTTACACTGCATGTCATGTACGAGTTTCACCCTGACTTTTGTACCACTAAGACAACGGCTGGGGCGGTGTCTCTGTAGTTTATGGAAAGTGCATAGGGGACAATGTAAGAGGGTAGATGCTGGCTCTCCTTGTAAAATGATAGCTGTTGAGTAAAAATTTGGATGAATCTGTTGTCTCACTGAAACCTTACTCAAACAAAACCAGGAGAGTGCATAGAAATTATTTGTGCTGCTTGCTCTCAAGTCTTCACACAAAATAGGCAGCTTCAATCAGTGTTTTTCAAACTTTCTGTCTTTGAGGGACCCTTTCCTGAATAACTTATCTGGCACAGAATTCTTTTTCATTGCTGAACATTCTGGGAAATGTCTCAAAACACATTCTCAATTCCTTTGCTGTTCCAGGGGGGTGGGGGGGAATGGGGGGGGGGGGTTTGTTGGGCGATACATAATTAAGGAATGTATAGAATGTCATTTAAGGAAAATTTACTTCTGGAATAATGTTTATTGAAACAAGTCCTGTATGGCAAAATTTTTGTTGATTGTTGGGATATATCAAAATTAAAAATTAAAAAAAAAAACACATTCTCAATTCCTTAGGGTTTGAAAAGAACCATCCAAAACACAGACATGTACTTTTCATCTTAAGAACAGACAAGCAGCTCGAGCTCTTGGGATTACCTGGGAAGGAATCCCACTGAAGCATTGCAGCACACCCAAATACCTGGTAGTCACTCTGGACCGTGCTTTGACCTACAAGAAGCACTGCTTGAATATCAAACGAAAAGTGGGTGCTAGAAACAATATCATACAAAAGCTGACTGGCACAACCTGGGGATCACAACCAGATACAATGAAGACATCTGCCCTTGCACCTTGCTACTGTGCTGCTGAGTACACATGCCCAGTGTGGAACACATCTCTTCACACTAAAACAGTGGATTTGACTCTTAATGAGACATGCCACATTATCACCTAAAGTCTACACCCTACACAGCTGGAGCAATAATACTGTTTAGCCAGTATTGCACCACCTGACATCTGCCGGGAAGTAGCAGCTAATAATGAAAGGACCAAGGCAGTGATATTTCTGGCCCATCCCCTGTTCAGATATCAGCAAGCACACCAGCACCTTAAATCAAAAAAATAGTTTTCTAAGATTTACTGAGATACAGGAACACCTCAGCAAGTGAGAATCCAAAAGTGGCAGGTAAAACCCGGAACCTCAACCCATGGCTGATACCAAATGAGAAACTCCCTCCTGGGCACACAGAAGACTGGACAACTTGGAAGGCACTGAACAGACTGCACTCTGGCATCACGAGATGCAGAGCTAATCTTAAGAAATGGGGCCGCAAAGTGGAGTCAACGACATGCGAGTGTAGAGAAGAGCAAACCACAGACCACCTACTACCATCTCTGTAGCTTCATATATTATCAAACTTGTCTACTGACAGCACTTCTACACCAGCCCAGAGATGACATGCTTTGGACATCTATAACCTTATCACAGGTGGCAATGGAGCCCCACGCTGCTCATCCAACTATGTAGGGTGACTTCTGGTGGGGCTCCTTGGGCAAACTGGGGTGGCAGCATGGTGGAACGCTGCTGCCACCACCAACACACAAGCTGCCCCATGTTCCATAAGGAACAACTGAGCTTTGGCAGAGCAACAACTCTTCCTCAGGTGGGGTGGGGATTGTCAGCTTGGTGGGCAGGGCACCAGGATTGCCTTGCTGTGCCTTGCTACCGCCATGATTCACCATGGAGGCTGACAAATCGCAGCGCTGGACCTCATCCATGTGATGAGGTCCCTAGTGTAAATCTGGTGTTTACTATCAAGGGCTGAAAAGGTTATGCTTCCAGAAATAAATGGGACCAAACTACTCCCATAGCAAAAACAAGATGAGGAGTTCCTGGAATTTGATTTATGTGTTGTAGTTATGTAACATAACGTGGTAACCAATGCTATTAGATGAAAATTGAATGCCTTCCTAGTTGGAAAACCATACAATGGCAACTTTGACATTTTTCTATGCTTTACCATTATATTAGGAATGTTGTGAATATTATGAAACTACTCATATTATGAAACTTTCCAGTTTTCAGATTGTTTTCTCTATACAACACAGGCACATAGTCTAGACTTGGTGTAATGGCTAAAGATTGTGAACTATGAAGTCACCAGGACAAAGTAGCCTTGTAGCTGAGTCATGTATTCTCAGCATAAGTCCCTCTCCCCAATTTTGATAACAGTTTCTCACCATTTTACTGATACAGTTATCTAAAGCATGCTAATGTATTTGTATACTGTATCGGTTCTAAGCATGACCTATGCTATTTTTCTAACTCAGCTTTAAACACATACCTACACGTACATTCATCTCTTCTAATGTCTACTGCACACAACTCTGTTTGTATCTCTAAGCAACCCTTCACCTTTCCTTTGTGCCGGGTCACTAATTAATTTTCCACCTTGCCACTTTCCACAGCTACAATATATTTGCTTATCTTTATCAACCAGGTCTCCGGAGGAACTTGCTTGGATGCCTTTGACAGTGCCCTTGGCCCATGCCATAGATTCTACAACATGTTTAACAGTGACCAGTAGCAAGGCTCTTCATTCCATTCGTGAAAATCAGAATCACTTGCTACTCATGGAGGGGACGCCTTAGGACTTGCCTGTAGTCTTTTGGTTCACAGTCAGGTCAGGTAGCAAACATGTACTAGTGCCCCCCCCCCCCCCACTCCCTCAACATTAATCAGGGTTAAGGATCTATGGCCTCCATGAAAATGAAAAAAATGCTAATAATTAAAAAAAACTTTTTATTTACTCAAAAGAACACTTTTCTGAGAATCTCTAGGTCCTCCAGCTTGACTTGATGGTCAGCTCTTGAAATTTGACCATAGAATTGGTCTGGAAACTTACAGATTTCTAGAGACTTGCTCTCTTCAGGAATCTATAGATCCTCCAATATGATTCTGTAACTTGCTTCTGGCAGAAGTTGATTACAAAGTTGCACTGGGGAACTTAGTGATTTCTAGAGATAATGTATTAATCAAATTCATAAAAGTTAAACCCACAAATGTCAGCAGCTGACTATATATGGCTGGGTTGTTGAGTATTCTGGGCTGTATGGCCATGTTCCAGAAGCATTTTCTCCTGATGTTTCACCTGCATCTATAGCAGGTATCCTCAAAGGTTGTGAGGTCTGTTAGAAACTAGGCAAGTGGGCTTTATATATCTGTGGAATGTCCAGGGTGAGAGAAAGGACTCTTGCCTGTTTGAGGCAGGTGTGAATGTAGCAATTGGCCACCTTGATTAGCATTTAATTGTCTAGCAGTTTCAAGGTCTGGCTTCTTACTGTCTGGGGGAATCCTGTTTTGGGAGGTCTTAGCTGGCCCTGATTGTTTCTTGTCTGAAATTCCCCTGGTTTTGGGTGTTGTTCTTTATTTATTGTTATGATTTTTGATTTTTTTAAAATTCTGGTAGCCAGATTTTGTTCATTTTCATGGTTTCTTCCTTTCTGTTGAAATTGTCCACATGCTTGTGGATTTCAGTGGCTTCTCTGTGTCGTCTGACATGGTAGCTGTTGGAATGGTCCACTATTTCTGTGTTCTCAAATAATATGCTGTGTCCAGGTTGGTTCATCAGATGCTCTGCTATGGATAGCTTCTCTGGTTGAAGTAGTCTGGGCTGCCTTTCGTGTTCCTTGATTTGTGTTTGGGCATTGCTGCATTTGGTGGTCCCTATGCAGACTTGTCCACAACTGCGTGGTAGCTGCCTGCTTCAAACTGCAGAAAAATATTTGCATCCAGAATTCTGTGTCAGGAAGAAGAGTTTTACTATAGATTTCCCCAAAGTGCAGCAGTGAAGAGGAAGGAAACACTAATTCCTGTTCACTACCTACAGATCTTGTTTGTATATTTGAAGGAACTGGATTCTTGCATTCTGAATTGTAACAGTGGGCTTACCATCATTTTGAATGTGAAAATGGCTTCTTTCTCATTCAAATCCTTGTTCTTTTCTGATCTAAACACAGAGATTCTTCTCTTCTTCTCAGTTTGTTTCTCATCTTACACAACTTGCTGAGTCATGTCAGTGAAGCAGACTTTGTTGTGAGGTACCCTAAAGATAGACAAAGTTTTTAATTGTACTGACAATGGTTTGAAAGAAGCATCACTAATCTTAGTGTACTGTATACAGACACATGGTTTCTTTTGTCATGTCTGGTGAAACAGGTTTCTCAGATTTTTTTTTCTCTTTGAAATTATTTTATTAATTATTTGACACAATCTTATATACAATCAGAAAATATAGATTCAAAAATAATGAAACGTGTCTATATTAAAATGGCAATTTGTACCCCTGGTGACGCAATGGGTTAAACCGCTGAGCCACTGAGCTTGTTGACTGAAAGGTCACAGGTTTGAATCTGGGGAGCAGCATGAGCTTCCGCTGTTAGCCCTAGCTTCTGCCAGCCGAGCAGTTCGATAACATGCAAATGTGAGTGGATCAATAGGTACCACTCCGGTGGGAAGATAATGGCGCTTCATGCAGTCATGCTGGCCACATGACCTTGGAGGTGTCTATGGACAATGCCAGCTCTTCAGCTTAGAAATGGAGATGAGCACCAACCCCCAGAGTTGAACACGACTGGACTTAATGTCAGGGGAAACCTTTACCTTACCTTAAGTATAACATACTTTACCATTAACTAGAATTAATGATATCTTCAAAGCAAAATCTGAACAAACTATTCTTAATTATAATTATTGGTTACTATGTTTTACAAAAAAAACTGTTTCAATCTGGATAATAGCAATAGGTTTCTCAGATAATTGAAGCAATGCAACATGCACAAAACAGAAGCAGTGATCCACTTTCAATTTGCTGTCAGCATTTGGAAAAGACTTGACTCTTTGCAACTTTGTTGTTTCTCGGATAGTATTGGAAATTCCATAACTTATTGGAAATAAGTGCACTATAACCTTATTGAAAAGATACAAATGATGTCACATCTGTTTGGCAAATGTGAATCTCCATGAGACCACCTTTTGGAAACCACTAGTCAAGAAAAGCAAGACCTTGTTAGAAATCAACTCTTT